CACGGGATCAAATGCAGTAGAATCAACCGAAAGAGCTGGGGTAGACGAAGCTACTGTGGGGAGTGTACCAGAGGCAATCGAAATCGCCCGTGTAGTCGAAACTACTGGAACAGTGGGTGGTGATGCGGCGGAATCTGCAAGCGGTGATGTCACCGAAGCAGATGCACGACGGTCACGAAGCCGTTGAGCGCGAGCCGCTGCTTGTACACGATCGCTACGAGAAGAAAAAGGGGGAATCGCCGGCACTGTGTAGTCGAACTGCAACGTGCTGCGAGAAGCCGAGCGACTGGACAAGCGTGGTACTACAGGGCCAGCAACACGGTCGAAACCGATGTCGGTCCCAAGAGCAGAGTGCTCAACGGTGGATGGGGCGAGAGGAAAATCCGAGTCGACATGTGGTTCACGCGGGAATTCAGAAAGCTCATCACCAGCAGCCGTCGAGATGGACTGCTGTTGTACACCCAAAGGCACAGAGGCAGAAACCGAAGTTCCAGGTGTGGGTGCTGGCGGTTTGAGGACAGCACCCACGGGGTTAGCGTCGGCCGAAGCCGGCGAGGCGAACCTCTCCCGAATGCGTTGAGCGCGAAGCTCTGACAAACGAGCGGCATTGGCAACAGGGTCAGCGGCACGAGCACCGTCCGAAGACAGCAGCAGCTGTGTGGCCTGACGACCAGCTGCCGGGGACCCGAAGGTCGCTACGCGAGGCGGTGACACCGGTGAACGCGAACGTTCAGAATGCTCAGGGCTCGCCGAAGCGGAGTCCGATGAGCCGACGCTAGATTGAGACATACCGATAAGCGAGGCAAAGCTAAGCTGTGGTTGGGACGAAAGCGCAAAAAACTGCAGCAGCAGCAGCCTAAAGCACCAAACCGCGCCAAGACACAACCAACCCAGACAACACCGTACGAATAAGCCGACAACGCCAAGTGTAGTGGTATGCACGCGTGATGAAGTCTGGTTGACCCGTGAAGAAGAACTCACTTGTTGTTACTCTTGTAGAACAGCAGCAGCAGTAGCTGTTGCCTTGGGTATCGGTAGGAATGACACCAAGGGGCACAGGATCCTCTGCACAAGCAGGGGCTACTAGATCCTGTCCCCTGCTTTTTATCCTTCCGCGGAGAGTTACATCTCTCCGCGCCTTCTAGAAGGAACCAAGCTCTTCTATGTTCCGTCTACACATCTGAATCCTATAACAGGGGGCAATGAGGGGGCGGGCAGCGGTGAGAACTTGTCGAGGTTGGCTTGGAGCCACGGAGTCTTGGATCCGCTACTACTGTCGACGATCTGTTAGGTCTTCTTGTAGTCCTCGGAAATGACACCATGTTACGGGTCTTCTTGTTGTGTGTGTCTGCTTTGGGATCTTCATACCGTGGTGGACAGGTTCACACTCCTGCGATGATATGACCATGAGGAGAAAGGAATGGAGCGAGAACAGAGAGAGGAGCGCACTCATGCGACTCCTACAAAGCAGACCAAACTGACGGTACCGAGTTCGATGCTGGTGTTCTCTCGAAGTATTCGACATGGCCTAGTAGGCGGCTTGGTCAGGAATTGCTCTTGATTCACTGCTCTCAGATCGTTTGGGTCATCAACCTCAGGCAGTGCCAGCATCGCATAATAATAACCACAGTCGTCGAGGGGTGTGTGCTCAATGAAGTCGTTCTTTTTCCTTTCTACATAGAATACATCTTCCTTGTTGGTGGCTTTGCAACTCATGATCGAGTGAGAGGAAGGTAGGTGTGGGTGGAATAATTGTGGCATCATACCCTCGATACTCTCATTGTGGGATTCGACAAGCAATGGCCAAGTTCCGAGTGTTGTTGTTGTTGTTGTTGTTGTTGTTGTTGTCTTCACATTAAAATCCGTTCCGATCTTTCTCTACCCAGTACTGTACCTTCATGTGTCCTTACTGATCCAACACTTGACGCGGTCGATTCCTCCCGTGGTCACAGACAGGCTAACTTACCCTTAAAAGGTACACTCAAACAAACTGGCCCCGAGGGGTCCGCAAGTCAATAGAAATCAACATTGGGGATACCCGAATAAGGCGGTGGTGGGGCAGCTGATAATAAGAAGAATGAACGCCTTAGTCTATATGTTCAATGTATAGAACAAAACAACTTGATTTCCCCGTCTATGCCAGCCAATCTCGCCTGCCTTGTATATAGGGCGAGGACCGCCCTATTGAGTATCTACGAGATTCTCCAGGGTGAGCTTTATATAACAACAGCGTATTGCATGGGATTTGGATGTAGGAAAGTATCAACAGTTCTAGTACTACATAGATAGTTCGTGTGGCGGGAGATGCAACTACAACTCCCCATTGAAGGAAAGCGGGGGACAGGACCTTCGTAGCCAGCTCCATTCAACGAGAGCTGGTCCGTCCCCACACCTCCTCATCAGTCTACCCCACACGGTCGCTCGTGGCTCCGATGGAGAGGGTACCTTGTATTAAATAGGGACCGATATAAGAGGGTCGAAATCGGTTGTCACGGACTCGACCAGCTGAATAGTGGATAACGACAAGATAAAACAAAAATTATCAAGTCAGTTCATCACTCACGGGTCTTCCAGATTTCACAGCGGGTGGAAATCCCTTACTTGTACTGTGAATGAGTTAGTTGTCCTTGACTCTTTTTCTCGTGGAAAGAGATGAGCTCCTTGTTTGTTTTCGCAAGAAAAAAGAAGAACGCATCGTATATAATGAATAAATGCCGCCGCCGCCGCCGCCTCTCTCTCAAATCCATCGCTTAATGTCTAATGAAAACAAAAAGTGATGAACAAACACAAAAAAAAAAAACACGACCGAACGGGCAAACATAAACTTGTAAACAACTGCTGCTAGTAGTTGTTAAGCAGTTGTATGCACCAAAAAGAGAAGAAAAAAATAAAACCGAAGAAGAGAAAAAGCGAAAAATAAGCAACCACCGGACGGAGCAGACCGACCAATCCCACTCGAAGCAAGCTAGTCGTTCGTTTCCAACCCACACCGTTACCGGGAAAAGCTTGTGACGACGAACCGTTCTTTTTCAGACCACGCCACCTCCTTCCTGCCTACACGATAACTTGGTTGCTCTTTTATCAAAAAGAGATGTACTTCATGTATGCGCAGTGCTGCCATGCATGGTGGAAGGTCCGAGAAGAGCGCAATACTCACAATAAAACCAAACACCAGATGATGGGACGGAAGCACCACAGAAATCCAAACCTACTTTGCAATATGTAGGCATGTATGTCCCGTGCACCCCACAAGGGAGGGTTTGGAGGGGAGGTCATCACACATGACCACCGTTAAAGAACAGCCAAAGAGAAAGGAGACAACAGATTGCGGAGGGAAAAGTGCGAAAAGACCCAGGGCAAGCTGCTTCAAAGCCATGCTAATCACTTCTACAGTTGTGGTCTGGTTTCCAGAAGTAAGCATTGTCAACCACAACCAAAACAAACCTTGACACTTGAATGGATGAAAATTAGCGCGACCAAAAAAAACTCTCGCAACCCTAACCCCCATCACGCTCACTAGGAGGGAGAGGGAGAGAGAGAGAGAGAGTAGCCTGCTCCTGCACGCATAATTGACTACAATGAGTGCGCTGTCTTGGGTGTATTAGATTACACACCGAACGAACCACAGCGGGAAGCGGTCCGGACGACTCTGGAGTGTAGAAAAAAAGAAGGGCCCGGGAGAGTGAAAATCAAAGGAAGGGTGTTACTGCTACTCTTGTTGTAGTTGCTAGAACAGCTCGTTGTACCAAATCACGGCGGCGTTGCTAAAGTACGTTATGCCCCCCAAGGTAAACCAATCCCCTTCCACTCTTACGTTGAGCGCGAGTCCCGACTCCGCTGCGTAAACGAGAAAACAACCCAAGAAAATATGCACACATAGAAAGTACAACCTGCATGTGCCGCCGTTGAGTCTCACGATGAGAATAAACAAGCACACAATGAAACATGTAAGTCCATCAACGTGTGCCAAAAAAAAACGAACACCGAGAGAAAGCAGCAACGCCTACACGCGGAGATAAAAAGCAGGCAGAACATATACGTACCACACGGCCATGATTCGCACGGCCGCTCACTATGAGGATATATAACTATACACCCCCGAACGCACACAACCCCAACACAAATCAATAGCAGGGTGGCTGCTCAATCTTCGCGGTTACACGGCTGAACGCATCCGCCCGTTGCCATATGTAGAGTACCTCACCCAACATCGACACCGATATGAGCCAGTACACCAACATCAAGCAGCGGGTATTGCCGGAGAGGACAAATCCGAGAAGGGCGACAACTCGAAGAATCTGCAAACAACGTTAACCTGAACTCACAATCCAACACTGTGGTATTGCACCAACAAGAGCAGTCCAACGCTGTAGGATAAGGAGGTCTGATATAAGGCCGACGGATGGTCTGTTCGCACAAGTTGGTTGTGTGTCTGTCTGCAGCAGGGATGTAAACTATTCGCCGGAACAGAACACGATAATCTGTCTGCCGGGCTCGTTCTTCAGAGATCCTCGTAAAGAACGCCTCCCGCCGGTGTTGCAAAGAAGCCATGCATCCAAACGTCCAGGCATAAAACAACAACAACAACAACAACGCGTGTTGGTACACTGGCAATGCCAAGGTAGGCCTCACACCTCCCGTACGGGCGGGGGAAAGGACGAGCCGGCTTTCTTTGCGCTTGAAAACGATACGAAGCTCCGCGTTGGGTCACACAATACATACAACGAGCTTACGCACACGAAATAACTAATATCCCAAAACAATAACTCGACAACAACAAAAAAAGCCTTTGAGCTGACCCACACTGGCGCGTAAATGACGACAAGTAACTCTTGGGCGGCGGCGGTGTGCATGTAGTAGCACGCCGCAAATCATTACACCCCCAAGTACCGTGGATCTATCTCTCCTTTACTCTTCCCTGGGCAAGCAATTTTTATCTCTGGGCAAGCAGTTGTACTTGTATACATACTCGAGCAAGGCGCACCCCGGAAATCGAACTTCTAGGCGTTGCCGGCGGCCCGCCGCCTTTCCTTGGCCCTCTCGGCCCTCTCTTTCTTTGCGCGCGGGTCGTTGCTAAACCTGGTCGAGGACGTTGTTGTCTTTGCCGCCACCGCCGCAGGCTTGGCTGCTGGGCGACTTCGGCTTGGGCTCCTCCGTTTGCTGCTCTCGTCTGCTGGCTCCACCATGCCCCCCCCGGAGCTCTCCCTGCGCTTCCCGCCACGGTCGTCGGCCTTCTTGCTGCGCCGCCCCTCCTGCTCTTCGAAGGGCGGCGGCGGCGGCGGCGCCTCAGCCTGCCGCCGTTCCTTGTCTTCGCGGGAGCGGCGCCGGCGACGCTCGGCCTCCGTCTCGCGGGTCGCAGGCACGCCCCCGTCTGCCGCTGGAGTGCTCCTGCTGCGAGCGCCGGCGGGGCCCTCGGCTCTACGTTGTCTGCCGCGCTCTCGGCCCCCGCTTTCCTTGTAGCTCGGTGGTTGCAGCTGTCTCGATGCAGCCGTGGTGTTGTTGTCGGCCTTCTTCTTGTCCCGGTGACGGTCGTCCCTGCGGGAGGAGGAGGGCTCACGCGCGGCGGTGTTGCCCTTGGCCCTGCCGCTGCTGCCCACGCTTCGCGCGCGTTCTCGCTCTGCGCCTCGCTTCCGCTCCTCTTCCACCCGGCGCCGCTCGCGTTCCTGCTGGCGTCGCTGCCGCTCTTCTGCTTGCTCTTCCTCCAGCGCTTTGGCTGCCCTCCTGCTCTCTTCTGCCCGCTCTTCTTCTAGAGTTCGGGCTCTCTCGGCCCTCTTGCGCTCGGCTCTCTCCTTCTCCTCTAGAGCACGGGCTTTCTCGGCCCTCGTGCGTCTCTCCTTCTCCTCTAGCGCCCGGGCCCTCCTCCTCTCTTCCGCTTGCTCTTCCTTCAGCGCCCGGGATCCCTCCGCCCTCTTCCGCTCCCTCTCCTCCTCCTCTTGCTGTCGCCGCGACGCCTTGTCGGCTCGCGCCCTCTCCCCTTCCAACGCCGCCTCCGGAAGACCCGCCGCCTTGCTCCGGCTTCGGCTCCGCCCGCCGTCGTTTTCATCTCGACCCCGGCCTCTCGATTTGTCCCGCCCTCCCCCCGACGGTTCCGCGCCAGACCGAGGAACGTTCTTCGGAGCATTCCGAGACAGGGGTTCGGGAGGCTCTGCCCCCGCCACCCTGTTGAGCAACGACGGGTCGCACGTACCGAAGTCATCGGGTCCAGAGTCCTCGTCCGTGGGGGCCACGCGGCTTGGCCTGCCCCTCCCGGACAACCGCGAGGACTTCGACGACGATTCCCACGGCACCCCAAGGCTGCCGTCGATCGGGGCCGAGCCGGAGCCGTTGGTTCGACCGCTGCTGCCGCCGCTACCGCCGCCGCCGCGACGGTGGGATGATGACTTGCTGCCCCTGCGCTTGCGGGGTGATCTGGACCTTGACCTGGACTTAGACCTGGGCTTGGACAGGATCTTGGATCTTTGGGCGGCCGGCGGCGGTGACGGGGACACGGGGAGATCGCCGAGCGGGATGTCTTTCATTCCCATCGTGTCGACGGCCTGCATCCAGAGCGGGTGGCCTGCCTCGTCGTTTTCCGCACCCTCTTCCATCCTGGCGAACTGGCTGCCCTTCCTGCCCTTGCTCTTCTCGCTCAGCATGCTGCCCGTTGTCTTGATGGCCTGCACCACGGCGTTCCCTCCCCCGCGGCCGCGCCCGCCACTGCCCGACCTCTGCCGACCTCTCTGCACGCCGCCGCCGCCGTCGCCGCCGCCCCCGCCCTCGGTGTCCATCTCCTCGTACCCCGTCCTCCGGAGGTAGGCGTTCAGTTCCCGGCTGCCGCTCCACCGCGGGTTCTTCTTGCCGCTCACGGACACGCCGACGCGGGGGTCAGAAGGCCAGGACGCGTCGCTGGGGGGCTGGTACGCCGCGGCGCCCGGCAGCTCAACGTCGTCGAAGTCATCCGGGGGTTCCGCGGCACGACCACGGGCGTCCGCGCTTCTTTCCCTCCTCGCCGGCTTTCCGCTCTTCGCCGTAGGTCTGGGCGCCGCCCGGGATGGCTTCTTCTTGGCGGCGAGGGTTTCCACACCGGCGGCGGCGGTGGCGGTGGCCGTGGCGGTGGCGGTGGCGGTGGCGGCGGTTTGGAGGCCTCGCTCCCGGTCGTCCGTGGGGAATGCGGGCGGGGTGACGGAGGCGTTCTTGCCGGACGGGGGGGACACGTCGGGGGACGTGTCCCCGTCCTCCTTGTATTTGTTTTGGGTGACCGCGGCTGCGCGGAAGTGCTTGTACGACAACGCCAGCTGGTTCTGTGTGTGCGCAACACGGCAAATCATGCGGGTCCGTCCGCAATAATGCCGGGGGGGGGGGGGGGGGGCATGTAGTCAGGAAACCAGCAGCTTTCGCAAGGAAATTAAGCTCGGGTTTAGTAGGGGGTACGGAGGTTCTTTTGGAGGGTTCGGGGTGTTAGGGATTTACCGTAGCCCCCCTCTGTATGTCATACGCACAGATTAGTAATTATATCCTCGCGAAGTCGGTCTCGGGAAAAAAAACAAAACCTATCGGTCGGCCTCACGTGTGCATAACCCTCTGCTCTTGGCACAACGCCACCAGGAACAATTTGGTGGCCTTACTTAGTAGATCAACAGGCAACAGCGAACATCTAAACATCGCGTGGGGAGCATCCACTCCAGCCTCGAAGCGACCGTTCTTCCAGATCCTGTACAACCAAGAGCCGCGTCCACTCACGGCCTTTCGGATGTCCCGGCAGCAGCAAAGGGCCGTGATCAAGCCGAGGCCGATCAGACCGCCGAGGCTAGCATAGAGCAGGGTACCCCCTTCCCAGTAAAACGCCTCCGCTTGTTCAACGATAGACTCGTCTGACGCGGTGCCCGTCTCGCCGCCTCCCTGGCAGGTTACCCCTAGGGCATCCGCCACGCAGCAAGGGCAATCGAGCCTGCGCGATGCCATGCCATGCCGTTCGGGGGTGGGGGCGGGGGGACGCAGATTAGCGATTAGTATGGGGGGGGGGGGGTTCTGTGCTTGCCTTCGATTGGTCAAAATGCCCCCTATTGAGACGGAAGCTCATTTCTGGTCTGAAACGGACGGTGGCGGTGCCGAAAATGGCTGCGTTGGAGATCTTTCCTGAAACGCATCGTCCTATTGTAGTACGGCATCCTCTTCATCGTAATCGAGCCTTGAAATTCGTTCGAGAGAGTGTGGTACCTTACTCAACCTACATCTCGGGATCTCCCTCAGTCACCAAAATGACCAAACGCCAGAGCTTGACGAGAAGAACAAGAAGGTTTCCCCCCCATTAATACTTCAACCCCCCATTAATACTTCAACCCATCCCTTTCGACTGCTGTGGTTACATTTCTAACGGGATATATAGCCTCTCAATGTTTGCATGCATATTTTATTAAGAAGAACCTCTCACCAATCCGGGTAACGCTCGTCGGGAAAATCGGCCAACCAAAACTCGCGGTTGACGAAACAAATCCGGCACGCGGTCACCCCTCCCCCGCCGCAGCCCGTATTCCCCCCGCCCCCCTCCAGGCAAGCCTCGTCGTAGTACATGCCCACGCTGGGGCCGCTAACTTCCGCCACGCCGACGTCGAAGCCCACGCATGCATCATCTGCTGGCAGGGCGCACAAGTCGCCCGAGCTGGTCTCGGCGTCAGTGGCGGGAGGTCCGTCTTTCGAAGAGGAGTCCAAGACATTGCATGCCGAGCTGCTCACCTGACGGGACGGGACGGGAGGGGCGCGTGCGTGGGTGTAAATGCAAATGCGTGCCGTAGTCGTTGCACCGTTTGTCCTCGAGAGGACGGAGCATTGGTCTCACAAGCCCGATCGCCGATGGCCAATCGTTCCTTCCTACTTCCCCAAAGGTGGCTCAAAAAACGGTTTTCCCTACCCTGTCTACCCGGTCGATATCACGCCGGGGTGGGCTTGTACTCGCTGTTAGTTTCCTGTGAGCTGGTATGTAGCTGTAGATAACTTTGAGCATGCTGGCCCACACAGCACCTTGGAGGCAGGGCAGTAAAACGTGCGCCCTCGCAACAATCAGGACCAAAACTGGCCAACAGGTTGTGGCGATGCGCTCTTCACGTCGTCGTCGTTGCGAGCAAGCAAGCAAGATCGCATACGACACAGGCATCATCCCAGCCGCATGGCGCATGTATGCGCACGATGGAGAGGCCTTGCGACCTACCATATCACAACCGCCTCACTCCACGTAGAAATACTACAAATAAGGCCGCATTGTGAATATGGTATGTCGTTGCACGTCGAGGCAACGGTGTCCAGAAAGTACAAGAGAACACCAATCTATTCATAGTCGAGAGAAAAGAACATTGATCTACTCATAGCCGAGAGAAAATAACACCAATCTATTCATAGCCGAGAGAAAACAACATCAAATCTATTCACAGCCGAGAGAAAAGAACATCAATCTATTGATGGCTTCCTCTTCGCATACTCTCATCCACCTTGCCAGACCCTAGAATCCCAGCCGCTCGACAAGACACGCTAAGCCCGCGGCGCCAAAACTCTCCCTCTCGGCAGTGAACGAAGATACCTCTCACCAAAATCCTCAAACCAGCCCTCAACGACACCAGACGCCCCCCCCCCCCGTCTATTGACTACGGCAGCGTTGGTGTTGTCTTACACGGGAGTACCCATCCCCTGAAGGATCACGCATCCATCTCACCTCAAATTCCAAGCTGCCTCCCATACCGCCGTCCACCTCGCACACATTCCAAGCAGAATCCGAGCTCCAAGCGGTGTACGCAGTAGTCTCGAAGGAGTAGTCACCGTCCTGGAGGCAAAGCTTGGTCATGCCGGAGAAGTGCCAGTCGTGCAAAGTTCCCTCAGCAACGACTGAGGATGATGCTGCGTCCGTTAGCGCCCAGGTGTTGCTGCGGTCTGGTAGGCCACCGACCCAGCCGTCCCCGTACTCGTCGGTCGTGGTTATCTGACAACAGGCGCGAGTGGATACACAGTTCACCGGGGTTTGTTCGTTAATCCACACGATTTTGCGAGGGTTTCGGTGGCGTGGTACACATCTACTTTTGCTGTAGTCATCGCCGTTGGTGAGATTGGTTCGTGTGACAACTTGAACAAGAGTTGTGAAATAAAACGGCATGAAAATATACCACCTCCTTTGAGTGCTGTGTTGATCTTTCCAGCCTCTTTCGCCGAGCAGCGTTGCAAGTGAAGCGAAATCAAATACGTCATTCTGTCTACCTGCAAGGTACCGTGGTTGCATGAACTAATCACACAGTACACAGCAACCGGACACAATTGCACACAGCCGGTGTTCTGAACCTACATGAATATACTCGTGATACAATGAAAAAGTTCGTTTTTCCCAGCCCCAGCGGTCAGTGCAAGCGGCTCACCACCAGCTCGGAGTATCCAGATGGACACGCGCTCGAGGCCGCGCAGCTCGTCCCCAGCTCACACAGAACACTTGAATCCGCCACGACGGTAACATCGGGTCTATCCAGCAGGTCCTGGTACTCATTCATGTACACCTGGAAGGACCCGACATGGCCAGGTGCGAGGAAAACATTGGTCATAACCTCTCAGGAACACTCGACCCGGAACATCAGTGGGTCGATCAAAATCGCCTCCCTCCTCTCCCGGTAGTGGTTTATTGGCACTGGCAAGGAAATCAATGCGTCGTCAAATGCCCCCTCCCCCCCGCACGGGCAGATATTGATAGGATTTTCGGAAGCATTTTCAAGCCACCTTTGGCAAAGTTGGAAGGAACGATTGGTGGTCGGTCCTGTGGAAACAACACCGCGTGTTCTCGAGGCCGCGTGGTCAATGGTCTAAACAACAGCCAACGCATGCAAAACAAAACATGGGTACCCCCCCCCCCCCCCCCCCCACCCCTGGCTCATAGAAATTCTACGAAGCACGGCTGACAAGGGCCGCTTTCATCCTACACTGCAAAGCATGAAATGTCCTGGTACAACCCTCACCTCAACGAGGACAGTATGCGCTGCGGAGGGCTCCGCGTGCTCCACTACGACGGTGTACGTTAACAGCTCCCCCTTCCACTCCGCCGTCACGCAAACGCTGTACAGGCATTCGCCTTGATCCTGTGGGACGCATGGGAGGGAGGGAGGGAGGGAGGGAGGTAGGGAGGGAGGGAGGGACGGAGAGAGGGGAGGGAGGGAGGGAGGGACGGAGAGAGGGGAGGGAGGCACGTCAAAGGAGTTGAGCTAAAGATAGATGCCCTCTAGGGGAATGATGCACTCGGTATCCAATATTCTGCCGCCGTGAGAGCGGTTTGGTGGGCGGTTCTATCTATTTCTCGCTCAGAAGAGGCCGCAACAGACGGCTGTTGTGTTGTTGTTTATGCTCGAAGAAATCGTCGGATACTGCTTTTTGGTGCAAGCGCACGACCCGAAGCATTTTTCTTTCTCGTTGTTTCCCATCTCCTCCCCGGCCTGCCCCCCCCGTCCCTGGGGTAGGCCGAGGTTCCGCAAGTGGATCTAGACCTCGAAAGACCACCCAGCAAAGACGGATATACGGTCCCTAGCACTGTTGAGAGGGGGATCCTGAGTTTGGCGGTTGGGAGTTACTGCTGTCGTGAGATCGGGGTAGCTCGTGAACCGCCAGCTTTGGTAGCTGCAAAATGAGGCTGGATCCTAACGCCCCGGCTTGGACACCGGGGTTATGCAGCAGCAGAGAGCACGGTGAGGGTGGCGGAGTGACCGCACGCCGTGGGGGTATGCCCCAGAGAGAGGAAAGGAGAGAGTCCAGAGATGGAAGGCCACACCGCTCCGGGACAAGAAGACAACTCTATGGGAAACAAGGCAAGAACCGGGATAACTATTACATTAGCCCGAGTGTAAAAAAAAATTAATGTGAAGACAACAACAACAACAACAACAACCCCCAAGAGATGAGATCCCAGCAAGCGAGGAAGGTTGTTTTCATGCTTGCAGTGTGGAGATAGTATGCGACATAGAAAAATATTTACAAAGGACATCGTACATACATACATACGCATTTGTATACCAAATACTACTGATGGTGTATGGAGCTTATCCGTACCACATGTACGTACAGAGTCATACCACGTGGTGCGTTCCACCGACTTGATGGAAAAAAATATTAGCGTGCTGCGAGATACCGGTATCTGGAGACCACGACCTGCTTTTTGGTGACCTTGTCTCGCACATGAAAATATATGCTGCTGGATTCTGGATCCCTTAGGGTTAGTGCTCGTATTCTTCTAGTACATGCGCAAATGTACCGTGTCCTCTATTTGGTCCTCGGGCGATGTGAGTGTGTACACCAGCAGAGGAAACAGAGTGCAGCACTCTTGTCGCACTAACCAAAAATCGAAGGCAAAATACCGCAGGAGGGGTGGGAAGGGGCCTCAGGGAGAGACCCTTCTGCGTGACCACGGGTTAGAGTAAATGGCACAAATGAAGACAACAACAAAAAAAAGTGCGGGGATAAAGCGGAGGGGTGCTCGGTGTTGGTCATGATACATTTTTTTTTTTGTTTTTCACTTCAAATCAGCGCTTACAGCACTAGTGCCATTTACTCCAACCCGTGGTCACGCAGAAGAGCCCCTCTCTGCCCTCCCCTCCTGCCGTACTTCGCCTTCGATTTTAAGTGCGAGAGAGCTCAGTTCAGCACTCTCTTCCCCCTGTGTACACACGAACTAGCGCTATCCCCTAGGCCAGAAGCGGAAGCGAGAGAAAAACTCAGTTTGCAAGAAAAGCTCGCTTTCGCCGGGATTCGAATCCCCTGACCTGACCTCTAGAAGGTATCGAGGATACCAACTAGACCACCGGGGCGACCGGCAGTCCATACAGCACACTCTTATTTAAATAGTTTACAGCAGGAGTTTCCGCCTCAAAATCGCTCGCGCAACTATGCATACGCGCATGTACATACGATGATGACCGTTGTCTACCGCTCTACCGGAAATATTTTAGGAGTTGACAATGAAGAGCTTTGATGCCAGAGGTGGCAAAACTCCAGTTTCATCAAAACGTAAGAAAGATGACCTCGTCGATCTACAGAGGAAAAAAATTCATCAACGCCCGCCATGTGCCCGTGTTCTTTTCTATATTGATAGTCTAGCATACGAAAAGGGCAAGAGAACAAACAAACGGAGTGGACAACTTGGACACCGGCGGCAGTAAGCAACATTCAGGGAGGGAGGGCACTTCGTAAAATAGAACTGTTGTAAGAGTAAACACGAACAAACTACTCAGCAGCAGCAGCAGCGAGTGAGGAAGCGATAGCACACACCATTGCACCATTGCACAAAACAAAAAAGTGCCGTGTGAAAAAAGAAGTTGCGCACGATCATCATCACATCTGCGACATAAATACCGGTTCTCGGCTGGATACCAGATGAAAAGGGTACGGGCGGTGCATGAACATCTCCATAGGACGTTTCCAAAACGAACCAGACACGCATGGTGCATATGAAAGCACCAATGGCAGTGCACCCGCTGTGGAATTGCATGCCGCATAAACTGGACAGCCTGAGTTGTTCACAGCAGCAGCAGCAGTAGGAGTGCTGAGGGCTGTTTGTTCATCTACACTCGGCGGTTCAAAAGAGACCAAAAACCAGCAGGTAACTCTGCCTTGAGGGCCTCTGCTTGCTTCGGAAGCCGGGGGCCGCCCACAGAAAAAGAAGATATTAATTTCCACCACACATGAAAAGACAAAAAAATAATCGAAGGCGGCCGGCAGCCCCCAGGCGGTCCGTGCAGGTATGCCTTGATGATGACAGACGTGCACCAGCGGCTGTTCGTGACCCAAGCCACGCTGCGGCTGATCAACGGAAAAACATTCACCAACACCAGAGAGGGCGGTTGTTGTTGCCAACGCGCACCGCGCGGTCTAATGCCACATGCGACCCTGTCACTCGGAATAATTACAACACAACATTGTTCAGTTCCATATGGGGGAGGGGAAAGCAAAGTACTGCTACGTAGGTTATCGTATCATAGGTGGGGCGTGCTTTGGAGTTGGTGGCCAGCAAAGACGCCGTTTGTTTGTGGGGGCAGAGAGCGTGCGTGATGATTCACTAACGTACGTTAGAGCCGGAAGTTACGGGCCAAGGGCGAACGGCCTCATCGCGAGCTTGAATAGACGACGGGCGGATTGTTTGCCAGCTCTCTCTCTCTCCTCACTCTCTCTCTCAAGCAGAAAAGAAGGCGCGGGAAATGGAAAAAGACTTCTTCTTCCTCTCACACGCGCACCTGATACAAGAGGTCCCCCTCGGCGTTCGTGCAGGAGTGCACCACGTTCAGCGATCCCCCCAACACGTCCTCGTCAGTATGGTCCAGTAGGTTCTCCATCCGGAGCTCACAGTCGACCTCTCCTGCCGCATACACTTCCGCGTTCACCACAGTCCGAACGCACCCTGCCTCGCACGGTCCCCCGGGCTCGATATCTGCCGCCACGACGGCGTCGCTCGTGCTCCCCAGCCTGCGCAGGACGCCCAGGCAAGCGGGCGCGCCGAACGCGACGAGAAGCACGGCGGCTCGGGCAAGGGACCAGCCAAACGCGGCTGCTGCTGCTGATGATGATGATCCGCCCAACCTCACCGCAGGGGCACAAGGGCTGCCCCTCCTCCCGCGTAATCGAATCACCATTTCTTGCTCAGCGCTTGGAGAGCAAGCCTGCGGCTGGCCTCCCAAACGATGCCTGCAAGCAGCCGACGAGCACGCTTGTCCGCCTGGCCACGGCCCCTTCTCCAACCCCTCTGGTTGTGTGCCTATCCGTCGATTTCCACTCTTGCCACAGACACTACTATGCACGATGATGCGATGGATGGTTTTAATACCGACAGCCAACCCCCTACCCCCCCCCCCCGTAAAGATCCACATGAGTATGAGATACGTTGGACAAATAAGCTATGATATCCTACATGTTGTTGTTGTTGTTGTTGTTGTTGTCTTCGTGTCAGTTGCTACTCCCCAAATCTAGCAAAGACGCTGTCCGTGGTCACAAAAATGCTAGAGCCATCAGAAGATCTAAAGAACACGCCAACTAGGAAGAAAAGGGTACACAAGCCCGAAGAGGTACACCTATACGTCCCTGCAGCACGTTTGCGTGCCCAAAACTGACCCGTCCACACACTACAACATTCGACTAATATATACAGGTAGCCGGTCGCCCCGGTGGTCTAGTTGGTAGCCTCGTAACCTTCTAGATAGAGGTCAGGTCAGGGGTTCGAATCCCGGCGTAGGCGAGCTTTTCTTGCAAAGTGAGTTTTTCTCTCGCTTCCGCTCCTCCTGGCCAAGTGGATAGCGCTAGTTCGTGTGTACACAGAGGGAAGAGAGTGGTGAATGAACTCTTCTCGCATTAAAAATTGAAGGCGAAGTACCGCAGGAGGGGAGGGTAGAGATAGGCTCTTCTGTGTGACCACGGGTTGGAATAAACGAATAAACGGCATTATTTAGTGCTGTGAGCGCTGATTTGAAGTGAAGAACAAAAAAAAACAAAATATATATAAAAAAAAATACAGCAGCATCATCCCCCCTGTCCTACACTTTAACAACCTACATGCGATGTCGTATTGCGTAATATAACACCCCGTAGGACCACTTTTGGTGCTCTAAAGTAACACAAGCTGAGACGTTGCAAAAAACGGTGGGGTTGGAACCAATCTCGTCGACAAATATCCGTCCCTATGTTCATTAGGTGACGCTGGATCACTTTCGCTTTTTTTTAGCAATCGAGCTCTCTGTACATTGGCCCATAGCGGGAGGGAGAGGTAATATATCTGATGCAACCGTTGAAAGGATAGAGCGCAGATCTCCTCTTCAAACTTCGGTAAAATTGTTGTTCTCGTTTTCGGGATACTAGAATCGGGAGGCGTTATTATAATTGTAGTCTTCTTCGAGTGCCATCTCTCTTGGCTGCACGCGGGATCAGCATCACCATCCGGTCTCTGCCAACGCGCGCGCACATATCCGTGGGAGCTGTTAAGAGGTAAGGCTGCTCACGCTGGCTTTAGCCGAACTTTTGGTGGCGATGTTCCTGGAAGATAGCTATATGTTCTGAGGCCACGCCATCCATCCTGCTCTCTTGTTTTACCGACCACGACACACCCGCTCTCGGCCTGTTGACCCCGTGTCTCACGCCTCTCATCGCTCTACAGGAAGAGCGAAAGCGAAGCATTGGAGACGGGTAACGGTGGTCGTCATCACCGCTCAGTTTGGTGTTTGGTGAGTGCCCGAGCGCCGATTGTCGGTCGTGACAAACGCAGGGTCGTGAATTATCGGATTTGAAAAGGATTCTTCCCTGCTGCTGCTGTTCTCGGCCCTGTCGTCATCTATGTGGCCATCCTCGGCACTACAGCCCACCGCAACGCTGGGCTGACCTATCTCTGACTTGACACGCTCCGCCAACAACCTAGTTGTTGTTCCTGCGGGTTGAGGTGATCGAAGCTTGCTGAGAGCTCCGAGGTTCTATGTATCCGGGTGTACACGTTGCAAAGCACCATGTACCGAAATATTTGATTTTTGGGCCATGACATTTTTTTCGAACAATCGGCGGTTCCCCACCCCGGAATATTTGTCAGTTCCTGGGCAGATAGCCGCGTCGTGCGCCTACGCACTGCTGTTGCGGGATTCCATTTCTGTCCCTGCTTGGGGGCGGATGTATCGGCGTGGTCGTGGCTGGCCACACGAGGTGTATCACATCGCTGTCGACTCTCCCCCGAAACGGAATATCGGTACGCAGCAATGGCAGCAGGCTCCATACAGCAGTTCAGCTGCAGCAGTTCCTTTACCGGCGTTGCAAGAGACCTCTCTACTACGTTGACAGCAGCAGGTCGGCAATAAAAGTCTGGTATATGTACATGACTCAATCGTGCATATACTTGCACACGTATCCATGTGTACCACTACTGCTGTGTAGTCTCTTCTAAAAGAAACAAACCAACCATGCATTAGTTACGGCATACATACAGGGTCGCCGCGTATGACCCCACACGAAACGTTGTGTACGGTGGTACGTAAATTGTACCCTGATCAGTTCCCACATGTCATGCGATCGCTGCTCATATCTTAAATCCCCGGCACGGCAAAGCAGCACCAATAATGAAAGAAGTATATTGTCATAGCATAAAGCTGGACCTAAGTAACCCACCACACGGCTTCGATACATAATTAACTTGGTTTCTGAGAGGGGAGCGGATCTACAGCGCTAGAGGAGCCAGATAGATCGAAGTCCAAATTGTAACACATGTACTACATTGTTTCAGCGATGTTTTCCGTAAGCATTCTTTTTGTTCTCGGCGATTGTTCTGTTGAATGGGTAGCGATGGTCCGAGAAACAACATCGTGAAATCAAAGAGAAAAACGGCGATTTTTTTTTGTCTTCGTGGTTCTCTCTGCTCTAGTTGCCATTCACATATTCTGGTGTTCTGCACCTCTCGGATGTACGTATGACTCGAGATGTACTCGCTTCAGAAGAAACTAGAGATATGGTAATCTGGTGTTTGGTATTTTGCTGTATACCATTGTACATTGTAGATCGGGTACGTACAGCAGTTTCACATGGCGGACGCTCCTCGTAGTTGTTGCTTGACAGCGTGTGTTTACTTAGTAGAAAAAAATCCTGCCAAGGCTACAACGGGTTTGGCGAATTGCTGCTTTGGCCATGATGCAACATAGCATAAGGTCTGTCTCACTTGTGGCTTCCTTCTCATCGGTCGCTAATTTTGCTCAACAAAATCAAGACGTTCCTGTTCTCAAATGAAAACCTTTGGCAGCCCGATCGATCACAAGCAGGCTTGAAATCTTTTTCGCCGAGGCAGCCGCGGCGTATTCAACAGCTGCCGCGAAGCCAACAGCCTTGCGATGCGTGTTCTTGGTCTTTATCGACAACTTGGGGGCTGACGAATCAGTTATTTACAGTACACCAGGCACTTGTTACAAGATACACGTATGGACAAGAACCAGGCACACAACAGTGTTATGTCCATCGCAAAGAGTAACAGAAGGGAGGCAGGCGTCCCTGCGGGAGACAGATTCGATTACAGCACATGACCTGAAACATGTGTGCTCTTCCCCCCCACCCCGCCGATTCATCCAGCCGACAAACCGGGGTAGCAGCAGCTCGAAGAAACAAGACACCCGAGCCCGCTAGCGCACCGGCGGGCAGCCAGCCAGGGTCAGGATGGCTAAGGTCGGGGCGATAGCGGGAAGCATGTACCACATGGCCATGTTCTTCCTGTTGAGCACGATCGTGTTGGGGGCCGCCTTCATCGCGACCTCGATGTCCTCGCGGTTCTTCAAGTGGTCGGTGGAAGGCTGCGCCGCGTTCGGTAACGGAGACGTCCCCGGCAGCAGCGAGAGAATCATCGTTTACGACCTCGACGTGACGGTGGACATCGGCTGGAGGGAGTTCACCGTGACCACGCTGGACCAGGGGACCGAGACTATCGGCGAGTGCTTGGAGGAGCTGAAGCAGGGGCAAACCTACTCCATCGGAGACTACCAGGTGGGCGCGCGCGCGGCTCTCTCTCTCTCTCTCTCTCTCTCTGCCGTTATCGTGTTTGCCGGTATACAGTGGCCTTCGCAATGGTTCTTCTACGATGTAATCATGTTGGATATAGCTTGCAATCGGGGAAGTTAGGTTAGGGATCGCGAAGGTGGTCCTCTATGGGCGTTCTCAGCCGTTATCATGTTTGGCGTGGGTATACATGCGTCATGCTTCAAGCAGTCGGGACACGCATCGTGTGGGTGTATGTCATACTTGAAGGTGTCTGGACATGGACAACCAACCAAGAGTACACATCGCCTATGCATGCGTTGTTCTGGAGTACCCATTATGTCTGCTGCTGAGCTTGCGAGTGATGGAAGGAAGGACTGGCATGTACTCTTGTATTGATTGCCCTTTGGCGGTTGGGACGATTCCTGCCTGACCGAGCAAGTCGTTAACCTTGTTATTTTTTCCGGTCGAGAACGTGCGGATACCCTGCTGTGTACCCAAACACATGCTCCGTTCATCGGCGTTTGAGGTCCAATTCGAACGGAGAGGGGCCGGGTGAGGCGATCAAGGTTACTGTAGAATAGGGGTTGCTCTAGATGCTGCCACAGGATGGCACTCTGTAGGGATAGTATTTCTGTGCAAGTGTGTACGCCGTGTACACCCTATCATGCCTAGATTCTCTTGAAATGACTGCTGTTGGCAGACGCCACCGCCGACCTTCACCACCAGTTTTACCACCAGACCCCCCTTGTGATATTCTTGCCTCAACGTACCTATTCTTGTCAAGAATCAGGAGGGCAATGGCGCACATGTAGTACAGCGACAGGAGCAGCAGTAAGACATGAAGTATTTTCGGTGTTGCACCCGTCCTCATCGCAACGGGCATGAGTACCCCTTCTTGTCTCAATGTACCTTTGTTTGTCTCAAAGTACCTCTTATTATCTCAACCTAAACCTGTTTGTCTCAACGTGCCTCCTCTTGTCTCAAAGTACCTCTGCTTGTCTCAACGTTCTGTTATTTGTCTCACCGTACCTCTCCTTGTCGCAAAACGCCATTGCACTGTACCCTTTCTTGGTCCCGGCAGGACAACAATGCCTCCCTGGCAGGACTGGGCATGGTGGCTTCTTGGGCCCTCGGCGTGCTCGTCGCGCTCTACACGTTCGTGGCTTTGCTGGGGGCGAGGCATGGGCAGAGGAGGGGGGGTGTATCCCTCAAGATGCTGACGAAGTGGTGTGCCTTGTTCACCGTTGGTTTGGTCACCGCCACGACGGTGAGTTTGGGAGAGAGAGAGATGTGTACGGGGCCGAACTAGATGGAAATGTTAATGAGCGAAACTGTGGACGATTCAATTGTTTGGCTTTTCACACATTGGACAGATGATGAGCTAGCTCACCTATGTCCTATAGATCATCTCGGAGAAACCTGCTCAGATCACCTATATTTCCCCTAAAGCTCGATGCATTCGAATTTGTAGTTGGTTATGTACTTCTAGACTTCTTGGTCTCAGCAGCGTATCAGCTAGGACTCTCTCTGAAGTCTATAATGAAGCGAGAATGCTCTGCGGGTGAATGTATCTCTCAGACTCGGACTATGGCGCTTCCGACTTGCTCCGAGACTAGACATGAATCTCGCGCTGTTGTTTTCGGAAAGCGAGATCGTTGGTTTTTGGTGTTGTGGTGGGACAAGAGTTGGTTTGAGCCGCTTTTGCCACGCCAAAGGGTGTTCGTGCCTTCACCGCAGCTGCCACCATCCACCACCAGATAGACCAAAATCCACGGGCGCGTCGTGATGACGCCTAGCATGTCTCATTGGCCCGGCCCACGCCGTAGCCGAAAGAGTGCACGGACACCGACGTCGTATCTTGTACTGGTGCGCTTTTTGTTGTGGGCATCTAGGACGGACCACGAAGCTCGCATGTTCCGACGTGCACCCTGCCGTAAGCCAAACCAATCCGGGGACTTCAGAGAGTGCCAGCGCCCCGTGCATGACGTATCTATCCCGACCGATCAATATCCCCGAGGCAGGTGTTCTGGTGGCTGGTAGAGGGCAAGTTCGGGAAGCGTCAGGAGTCATTGGCCCCCCGTCTGTTCCAGCGGGTAGAGGAGGGAGCGAAGCTGTGTAGCAACAGCAGCACGGAGGACCAGTGCAATGAAGCCACCTGGTCGATGGACGCCCCTGGCTGGGCCCTCTCTATGGGCGTGACTGCGGTGAGAGAGAGAGAGAGAGAGAGAGAGAGAGAGAGACCTCCTGGCTACTCCAGCTTGGGCGAGGGCAGGGGAGAAACGTATTCTCATGTTTTGCATGCAGCAGCGGTTAGACCGTTGACCACGTGTCCTCGAGAGGAGGGAGAAGTGTAAACGCATGCCGTAGTCGGTAGACCGTTCATCTCCGATCCTTCCAATACAATGGCGGGCCTGTGAGCGATATTACGGGTGCTAAGAGGGAATGATCTCGGCGTTATGTTCCGGTGCAGATCTCGGTATGTATTGTTTTCAGGTCTTTGTTGAGGGTTGGGTCTGGGTGCGGAGTAGCCGTAGTGCACGGATTTTTCGTCTGAAGTTGTTGTTGCTGTTCATGCTTCCTCTTTGTGCCAGTCTCGTTTCGTCACCCAAACCTGGTCGCTGCATGATGTCTGTCCTCTGCATGGAACTCTCGCTCAGACTCGCTACTCAACAACCCCGTCGCGAGCCGGCATACCATCGGCCGCGGGCTCAAAACTCTTTTGTGACCAACCGATGCATAATGACGCTTGTTTCTGACGTTTTTGCTCAACCGATGTGAGCTTGCTTTTTTTTTTAAGCGTATATTTTGTTCAACCGATGCATGTGATGGTAAGTGTGCCGTTCGACAAACAATGGCGACAACGGCAGATGTTCGCGTTCGGGGCTGCGACGTTCTTGCTCTGGATCATCGCCCCCCGCGTGGACCACCTGAACAGCGGCATCGAGGAGATCGAGGTGGCGGAACCCGCTAAGCCGCCTGTCGGAAACATCGTCATGGAGAAGGTCAGTCAGTGCTAACCCTAACCCTATGCTTATTCTCTGTTGTGCTTGTAGTCGGGGAGAAGACCGGTCAGAAGAGCTCTGGGCTCTCTTGTTGTGCCCAGGTGGGGAGAAGGCGAGTCAGTACTCTCTTGTGTTGTCCAGTATGTCGTGGAGAAGAACAGTCAAAAGTGCCTAGTCTCTCTTGTTTGTTTTGTCCAGGTCGAGAAGGCCAGCCAGTGGTCTGCTTATCTTTCGCTGGGTTTTGCATGTTGTTGGCGTTGCTGTTGCTTCGGGGGGCGGGTGTCTGTGGTAGCGATGGTGGGCGTGGTGGTGTTGTGATGCCTACGTACGTTGCTTTGTGTTCGTTGGGTGTTGTAGTAGTGTTAGTTACAAAATGCACCCGCCCGCCGTCCCTGAAGGTCGACCCCGGAAGTCGCACGTGAGTATTTAGTGGCACTGCACTGCTGCACTGCCGTTTGTTTTCGTCCATTCGAAAAGACGTCGCAAGGGTAATCTTTCCGTGTTCACAGAGACGATTTCTGGACTTGGCAGGCTATGCAGGACTTGGGTTGTCTCAATCCGACAACGCTCGAAAGTCACACTTCACCCCCTGATACTCACTCTTGTATTGTACATGTCTACCACCTGAAGATGTCATGTGCCTTTTCCTCCTCGCCCTGCGCTGCTGTGTTTCTAATCCATCCCGTTGTTGTTGTTGACCATCAAAAATATTTACCGTTGCTGTCAACTACTGCGCGGTTGTTTTTCAGACGCCGTTGCCGGAAGAAAAGACGAGGGGAAAAGACCGCCGTTCGGCAAAGACTGGCGTTCGCGCGGGCGGCAAGGCGCCGAGCTCCACGGTGCAGGGCGGAGGCCCCGCGGACGCTGGACCCGACCCTATGACCTACGCGTTGGAGGAGGTGACCAAACGACTACCCTGTAGCAGGATGGTTTGACCCTACAAATGTACAGATAGCGCCCGCTATAACTTGGCGGGGTTTTAGAACTTCACGCTCAACATGGGAGATCGGTCGATGTTTACCTTCAATTGATGCTGACAACAACGAGTCGTGCAAACGTTTTTTGTTGTTTTGTCCACGAGGCCCCCGACGATGACGTGGGGCCAGTGGAAAATCTTGTCATGACGAGGACTGGTGGAGGTTGTGTGTATGCCAGAACAGAACAATATCAGTAACAGCAGTCTCCTGTATCCTTTTCGTGCGACAAAATTTGGCTCTTTTTTTGTTCTGAGCGACGTCGATGATTTTTGAACTCTGGGCCACTCCAAGGAGATATCTGTTCGGCGATCTACCATATTGTTCTGAGGGACGTCGATGATATTTGAACTCTGGACCACTCCAAGGAGATATCTGTTCGGCGATCTACCATATGCTGTTTCTTTCCATCATGTGGATCTAGATGAGTCAATCATGCTTGATGTTGACGATTATATGTGTTGATTTGTGGGGGCCCTCGACATGCATTTATGTTACTGAGGTGTGGTGGTGGCGGTGGCTATTTGTTCAAGGACAACGTGCATGTAAATGAGGTAGAATAGTTGTTGACGTCCAAGATTCTCTGTACTTGTCACACGTCCATGATACTTTTTGGATTTTGCGACGGCCCCTTCGACGTTGATGTCAATGATTACTTATGGCTCTGGTCGGCATTGACGGTGTGTTGATTTTGTCAGGGCCGCGACGAGGAGCTCGGTTCGGTGGACGACGACGACGAAGAAGAGGTGGTTTACCAGAACCACCAGGTGCACCACGCCGTTATCAACCACAGCAACCCCAACCCGACACAGATGGTGGATGATCAAGGAGCGAGGTGAGCGTCAAGTCAACGAAACGGAACATGACGTCATGACAATCACGTCAACGAAAAACCACGAAACGGAACATGACATCATCACAGCGAAGTCAACGGCACCACGAAACGGAACATGACGTCATCACAATCACGCCAACACATCACCACGAAACGGAACATGACGTCATCACAGTGAAGCCAACGGCACCACGAAATAGAACATGACGTCATCACAATCAAGTCAACGACACCACGAAACGGAAAATGACGTCATCACGTTCAAGTCATCACCGCAAAATGACTTCGTCACAGCCAAATCGATACCACGAAACGGAACATGACGTCGTGGCCGTCGGTGGATGTGCTGGTCCATTTTTCCTGTCGCTACTTGCGACGCTGGGTCGTTTTTAGGAAAAATAAGTACAAATACAGAAAGACTACCCCATTCGAGATAAAACCACAGTCAAACGGGTTGTGTTCAAGTCTTTGCAGTGAGTCATTTTTCTTCAGCAGCCGGCAAGGAAGACGGGGCCCACGCTGTATCATTTTTCGTCTTATTAAATGACCTTTTTGTCGTGAGGGCAGCCAGCGTGAGGGCCGGGCAGGCAGTGTGCCAAAGGAAGGTGGAGCAGCCCGTGCCACGCCTCTGTTCCTATAAAATTTGTCCGGGAGAACGAGTAGCCACGACGATGACAGAACCCTCTGGTGGCCACGAAGGAAATGTACCCTACAGTAGTGGTCGTGACGAGCGTACCTCCTGTTAGTGGTCACAAGGAGTGTACCTTGTGGTGGCCACGAAGGTGTATCCTCTAGTGGCCAAGACGAAAAGAACGCTTGTCACAAGGTCTCATGAGCGCTTCGCCCAAGACGACTAAGACGAGACTTGCGGCAATAGCCACGACCCACATGCAGCGATGCGTGTGGTACAGTACAGACGTAGAGGGGTAGGATCAAGAGACCTAACCAATGCTCGTCCGCTCCTGGACGGTCGCTATCGCTATTAAAGCTAGCTCTATTGCCGGTTCCGACTCATTTGGCTTTCTTTCTCCCACGACTTCATTGCGACTTTACTCACTTCCGTACGTTAACTCACCCGACTTAGTAGCGTACCTGGAACAACTTGCATCGTTGTTGTTTTTTCTTTTTTTGCCCAACTTGGATGTTGCGCAATCCTTGCGCTCCCCCCTCCGTACACCTCTGTCTGATGCATTGATGCCCATCCGTCCTTGTCACTTTCACCGCCTCTTGCATTGTCAACACCCACCCGTCTTGTCACTTTCGCCGTCTCTTGCATCAAAATCCACCCGTCTTCTTGTCTCCGCACGGCGATGAAGCAGGCAGCAGCAGCAGCAGCAGCAGCAGCAGTACAACAGGGGGTACAGCCGTGCCACGAGCGGCGGGAGCTACGCCACCGGCGGTGGTCACTCCTTCGACGAACGATCCGAGGGTGACTACTCCGAGACAGCCTCGTCCGCGCAGTACTACGGGGGGGGGCAGGGGGGGCAATCGTTCATGTCGAGCAGTAGCAGAGGGGAAAGCTTCGAAGATTACCGCTAAGTCGCGAGAACAAAGCCAAGTGGGGGGGTTGTTTTGGTCTAGCGGTTGGTTTGGGCCGGTTCGCAGAGAACGGGGTTCTTTTCTGGTATGTTCAACCGTATGAGAGGGTTGACATGTTGGATGCGTTTCTGGTGTGTGCAACCGTGAGAGGACGTTTTTCTGGTATGTTGAACCATATGAGAGAATTGACATGTCGGTGCGTTTCTGGTATGTTCAACCATATGAGAGGATGGACATGTCGAGTGACTACCTTTCTGGTATGTGCAACCATGTCAGCGGATGGACTTGTCCAGCAGGAGTTTCAGTCGAAATCGCCATGGGCGTTCTGATCTGTATGGTGTGTGTTTCGCACTACGGCAGGTTTTGCATGTGGCAGCAGTGCTCCTGTGGAATAGAGCATCGTTCACTTTTCTGCAGAACTGCTCTTCCCCGCAGGCAAAACTTGTTTGTACACCGCAAGGGGAGGAACGTCTTTCGTTTTATCGACCAAGCCGGCACCCCGGCACTACATGCAGCAGTTGGTTGTACCAGACCTCTTGTTGTTCGCTTCCAAGAGGTGCTTCTCTGTTGCTGCTACTGGCACCATCGTTGCCTGTAAGTGTTGTGCTTGTTGGCGGCTGGCCCCTATTCCTTGCGCGAGAACGGATGTTATGTTTTTGTCTTTGCACGGGGGAGTGGTTCATTATTCGGGGATGGGATAGCAATCGTGTACGTACCGTATGTGGAGAGAAAAGAGACATGTTTGTCCTGCAGCACCTTTATGCGAATCTGTGTGCCTGTAATGCTTTTTTGTTCTTCTGTTGCCCTTGGAAAAGGTAGGGCGTTGTAGACTGGCGTCCTCCGGCTTGCGTATTAACTCCGCACGTGTGTTCTGTGATGTACCATAGTAGTTCTGGCGGGTTGGATGGCGTGGATCCGCAGATGATACGGATGCGACGCCTGAAGCCATTAGCAGATCATGCCGCTTTGTTGCTCCGCCTGCAGAACGGTCTTCTCAAGTCGTTCGCGTGTATCGTCCAAGCTGTCGAATCTCGCTGCCTTTTGCTAGGCTGTGCGCGGTAGCCTTTGCAGTGTTTCTCGATTACGTATACCGATGTGTTCCCGCATTCGACGGAGATTTCGATGGTGGGATGTGTTTTTGGCGATGGGGCGGGGGCGGCGAGTTTTGATTTCTCCCGCGATGCGCGCTCCAAGTTGTGCGGGGTGTGTGTTTTGTCGTCTGTGTTCGTCCTGTCATGAGCCGTGTGTCTACGTAGCGGCAACTTGCGACTTGAGTGAGTACGTCCCTGCTCAGCGATCAGTTTTTCGCTCTCTGTCCGCTGGCCAGGCCAATTATGTTGCAGCGCGCGTTGCGTCCTGTCTTTTGCCGTTTTTTTTTTTCCCGGCTGCAGCACTGGCAGACGCGGCGGAGGACCATGTATCCCCTCTGTTCGATGTTGAAATATTTCTTGATTCGGTGTGGATCTATATATTCTTCTGATTTTTTCGTCGAACGTCCCGTTTTTTGTCTACGTCAGCTTGTTGTGGGCACGACGGACGGCTCTCGCGGGAAAGATGACGGTTCTGATGCTTTATTTGCGCCGGGCGTGCGGTGATTAACGTTTTTGTAGTCGATCTGTGTACTGTAGTGAATCGTCGAGGTAACAGTGTTTACAGAACAACGTTGACGGGAAGTCACTCGGTGATGTTTTAGGTGGCCTAAATTGCTATAGCCCTCAACCGGAAAGAATAAGCTAACATAAATTGAAGCGTTTGTGTACAGTGGGGATGCTAATGGGGTGGTGTTGTGAAGTGACCCAAGGGTCACCACTATCAGTGGTCGGTCGCTCGTGCGACGGCAGGATTGAGGGGGCCCACGTCCCCACTAGAACTTGTAACGGCAGTATGAAGCAAATACCCGGTTCCATTCCGGTAAGGGCTTTGGCTCGTTCTGTGAGAGGACGCGTTGAAATATTCAATCGATGCTGCTTTGCTCGTCCGCCCATTTGCATGCGCGCGGGCGCAGATCTATCTGTGGAAGAGACGAAATATTTGTTGTGTGTTTGTAATTGTATTCCTTAAGAAAATTAGAACACCAGGCAGGCCACCAAGGCATGTTGATGCTATGATGGTACCGACGTCGTCTGGGATCATTTCCTAGGAGAACGACGAGAGATAAGAAGAGTGCCCGACATGACAAAACATTGTCGTAACACAGCAATCCGCCTGATCGGTCGGTGTTGGTACTGCAATACCTTTGCACATGCCATGGGGTATTCACCCATTTTCGGTCAGGCAGACTTGGACACTGAGTTGCGATGGAGCAATTTTGTTTTGGTGTACGATCATCGAAGGGGGCGAACAGGCACAAACCACACTGGACACACCAACGCGAAAAATATCGCGCTATGAAATATCAAACCTTCTACTACTACTTGAAAATACATGACAGAAAGATAACAAAACAGACGTGACAAAAAGGAAAATAGGAACAGACAAAAACTTCGACATGAAGCTGAAACCGTCACAAGTGGGCGTGACGTCGTTGCCAGTTCTGCACTAAATCTCGATCTCTCGCGGCTTGGGCATGCGGATGTGCCGCATCGTTGTGCCCCCTTCCGTTGGCTTGAACGGCCCTTGCCCGCCGTACGGCTTGGGGATCCCCAGCTCGTCTGGGATGTAGGCGTTCGGTCGGGGCTCCGCCATCGTGCGGACCTGGCGCAACGTTTCATGTAAAAGGTGCGCATGAGAAATATATCTAGAGTTGGTTCGAGGCAACAAGAAGTAGACCGTGACCAGTAACATCGACTAAAACATTGGTCTTCTTTCTATTTTTCCTACTTTCGCATATAACATGACACAACAAAGCCTCCACCCCCTTCACAGATGAAGAGGCTGGTATTGATGTAGCAATGGATTCATGGCGTACTGTACTGGGTGGAATATGCGTATGTTGGAATACTCCTTCGTTCAACATTTCCGGCCAAATAGACTGCACGTTGGCGTTGAAATCTACAGTACAGCAGTCTATGCCCAAAATTATTTTTCGCAGCCAGTCAGTCGTGGTTACCATGGACGGTGGAATTGGCGCCTCTCCGGAAGTCTCCGCCTCCGCCCTCTCAAGCCTCTGCGTGCTGGCCGCAACGCTCTTCTGCTCGAGACGGTACAGGTCCCAGACGGCCGCCTCGGTTGGTGGCTCTCCGTGCTCGGCCCTCCAACTACGTGTACATGGCAGTGTTACGGTGCAGCAAGACAACATGATGGCCCTTCGAAGACGAGGAATCATGCACGCCTACGTCGTGCAGAGTTAGTCATTGTTTATCGAAGGGCTATGAAAACATCACGTCAATGAGGGTGGGGAATATCTTTCCTTGAGGTTCGGAGCGCATGGCAGGTAATTTCATTTGAAAGTGGGAACACGAGAAGAAGACGGGTGTGTCCTATTGTACATCGATCGGTGGTGTTAGGCATGGGTCTCAGTTGTACTTTGTCTGGTCTATTTCTTTGCTTGCCATGAGTTATTAGGTTTGGTATGTCATGCTCTTTGACGACATTGCTTTGCGAGGAAGAGGGAGAGCGAGCAGAAGGTGCTGCGGGAGTGGAATAGAGAACAAAACAGGTGATACAATATCGCGAAAATAACACAGAGTCTACAACTTACAACAACGTTCACTCGTCAATTTATGTACACAAGGAAACGTTCAGAGGGAGAGGAGTGAATTTGGCATGATGTACAGCAAGTCAAACTACGTTGTCCCAGTCGACGGCTTATTTATGAATTCATTTTTCAAATATGTCGTGCTGGCCTATTTAGCCGAAAGGCCTGCTTCAAGCAACCGAACGCAAGCCGTAAGCCGTAGATAACAACTGTCAGCGTTGATACACGCATGGAACTGCTTGACCAACTCAGGCTGTTGTGGCCCGCCTCAACTTTCATTGTTTGTTGCGTCGGGCATCCGATGTGGGGTGCTTTCTCTTACGTGGCCTCTTGGAGCTCTCTCTCCCTTGCCGTCTTTTCTTGCTGGAGCTTGAGGGCGGTGGCCTGGTGCATTGACAGCTCGGACACAGTAGCCATCATGCGCCTAGTGGTATCGCGGATGCGTCCTTGAAACTCGTTTACCTGCCGATTGTCACAATGAACCATTTGATTGAACGCATACTCTCCTCAAAAACCTGGTCTGATTCCATTAGTCACAAGTTGGTCGGGGTGGTTCTTCAAGTGGTACCCAAGAAACAGCACGTCGGTTTCCATGCGGAAAGAATCAACCATAATCACGGCAGGCACCTTACGTATGTGACGTTGTTTGAAAGAGGCATCCATCGCAGACGGTACCTGTTCCAATCATAAACTCTTCTGAATACTATTAGAAGCTGTAGGATCATGTAATGAATCCGGGATACGTACGGAACTCATTCTAAATACCCCATTTAGAGGTGCAGAGGAAAGCAAATTTCTTTCATTTCTGCAACGTCACTCGCTTATTAATTCATTTCTTCGTTGGCGTCACTCGTTTCGTGCAAACGTTCATTGAGCTGTTCATTTTGCCTCAACCAGAGGGAGGTCCTTCATGAACTCAAATAAGAGTGAATTCGCCAACTGTACGTTCATTCTGAGTCTTTTCTGTATGAAAATTTTCCAGATGTGACTTCATCTTTCATTCTTTGTGCAGTCTTTACGAATATCTCCAAGAACATCGTCATCCCTTCTTCGACGACGGACAACCAGTCAGGAGAAGAACTTCCTTTCTCGAGCACGAAATAGTCGCATAAAACATTGATTCAGCGGTGCACGCGACATATCCTTCCCTGTGGTGCTCCGAGGAAATATATATCCATGCACGTACATTGCACTCGTTTGCAGTACAGGTAGGTGGAGATTACCACTTTCGGAGAGCGCCACTTCCCGCGTCGTTCGAAGCCATTTTACTGAAGCACCCAATGAAGAGATCTTGCTTGTTGAGAGAACATTACCTCGCATTTCTTTGAAACAGAGTCGCACGAAATCATAGAAGACTTGAAAAAGAATTGAACCATTCGCCACAAGATTCATTCATTCAGGGCTTTCGCGATTCACCTTTTTGGAGAGAGCTAAGGCTTGTGCGCGACCGTCCGAGGCCTGCTTCCGGAGCTTTTTAGTAAGGGAAATCACTTCCTCCAGGACCAGCTCTTTTTCCAGCAAGACTTCCTTCTTCCCGCTCAAACGGTCCTCAAGAATCTTTGGGCGAGAGGGACAGTTTCGGAAGTCAAAATCGACCCAAGACCCGTATTGGACGCAAGCACTGCATGATAGCTTACCTTGGTTTTACGTTGTGTGCAGAAGGAGTAGTTTTCTCTTCGAAACGTTTGATCATCCGTCAACGTCGAGGATGATTCAACATGCATGTTGGCATATGCACAAACATACGAGAATATCAAATATAACTTTCTAAGCATTAGGCGTGATATGCGGTCTTGCCTCAAGCTCCGTTATGCACGGTTTCAACTTTGAGTTCATAACGGCGGACAGGTGTCCCATTCATTTTCATTCGAGGACGCACGCCGATTCATTCCTTGCCTGCCCTTCAAAAAACTTCTTACAGCCGAAGATATCTCAGTCGAATCTACTACTGAATAGATATTCTTTCTGTCGTTCGCCACTCAATGTCGACCATCGCACTATGTCATGCGTAGCCATGAATGGCGAGGCCGAACTATATATATTTGGCGTTCGTTCAAGCGGGTGCCAAGTCTACAGAACACGCATTTAACACGGTCAAAATCCAATCATCCTGCAGGGCGAGGCGTGTGGCTGAATGTAAACAACGACGGGGTCGAGGCTCACGAATTTGTTGTGACCCCATTCCCAAAATGAGTCATGATGTTAACTGTCGGAGGAATTTCGTCTGGAAGCAAATACCACGGTGGTACTCGAATTGGTTCCGAATATGTTTTCTACTTTATGTTGTTTTGAGTACAGTAGTCGACAACTTCAAGGTTTTCGTAGTACAAATGTGTTCGATGCACTACGATGATCTCTACGGCATACTGACCACGATGGTGGCCTCAAGCTGCTCCATTGACAGGTCCTCTCCCCCTAGGGCCCGCCATCTGTATTGCAATAACAACGGGAGAAGTGAGTGCCACAAGCAGAGACTCTCGATCAAAAAGGGCTTGGCCGCAAAGTGGAGAATTGCGTGGCGTATGCACGAAAACTAAGAAACGGAACGAGTCTAAGATACGGTATCCGTAGAGTACATGCAGCCAACAACCATGGAGCACCAAGCTAGGCATGATCGAAATATTCTACGAGGAGGGTGATGATTTGGCAATCTCTCCCCACTGCCGTGCCCACCCCCTGCCCCCAAGGATACTCCCATCGTGGAAAAAGATACGGACCTGATCAAGTTCCCGGGGTCCTCCAGGTCTCTGCTGAGCTGCTCCGTCACTGCTCTCTTCGTTTGCAGTTCCTCGTGCATGGAAACCAAGTTCTCCGCACCGTCGGGGGCCTGTTTCCAAGAAGATGGACGCCCGTCCGTTATCGGTTATTGTGTTCTAACCGATTAATCTACTCGACTTCTTCGTGTAAAGTTGGGACAGATCGTTGAATGCGAGGTTGGCGTCCCGCCTAGACGCAAGACCTCCTGGTCGCAATACTCGACGAAAAGAAAATGGAAATGAGCCGACAACACAATGTTTAGGCAGTTGAGGTTTGCAGTCCAGAATAGAAATCGGCATCCACGTTTGGGAGAGGCTTACGACGACCAATTTCGAAGCTTCGCTTGTAGGAGGGGGATTTGTGGGTGTGACCGACCTTGTCTGTCCGGCGTCTGGCGGCCTCGAGGCGTCTTTGAAGCTCCGCAACCTGTGGGGCAGACCCGTCAAGGAAGAACACACCAGGCAACGGCAGGTGTTCGGTTGCTGTTGTTGTTGTCCTTGTCATTGTGGTCATTGTTGCCATTGTTGTTGTTGCTGTTGTTGATGATGATGATCTTGTTGTTGTGGTTGATGACGTCGATGTCGGTATCTTCCCGACAAGAATCCGAAATACCTCACATTTATGGTGGTCGAGATTACCGTAACAGCCATTCTGCTCAGATACCTGTTCCGGTTGTACCAGGGATTTCAAACAACATACTATACGTGATACCGACAAAAACGGTTATAGCAGTCTCTCCGCTTGCACGGGTAGCGTTCTCGCCGTTCTCGCCCGCTTCCTGAAGTCTAGCTCCTCAGCAGTTACGGGAGACCTTCCTTTTCATGAACAACAGTCGAAACCGTCAATGATAACATCGGTCTCCAATGACACCACGGTGAGCCTCCAGCTGAGGGTGTGTATTAATGCGAATCGGCTAACCTCAAGTTGAAACGTCGGCGAAGTGTCAAAGCATTGGGGTGGGAGGTATGGTGTGTCCGCGAAGTTAGCCACACAGCCGAAGGAGAAGTTTACCTGCAGTCTTAGCATCCTGATGTCTTCTTCCCGCTTTGTGATGGCCAGGCTGCCCTCCTGGGTCATGAAACGTCGAATTTGCGGTTCGAACCCGTTTCAGCCGATATGCCTAGCGAGCAATGTCAATGGTGCTATGTTTGGATTCAAGCTGGATCAATTCGTGCATTAGTTGGTGAAAGTTTGCAAATACCTCCAAGAGCCGTGGGGGGCTGTCTGGCATATACGATACACGAGCGCCGAAGACATCGAACACTCTTGGTCCTGAGACCCATTCGAACGATGCATAAACACACAAGATAGCCATATCCCAATATCCGCCTGGTGATGCAACGGTGAGTGAGGCATTAACGGAATGGCCGATGCCTGACACATCCTTCAGGTTGAACATCGACGCGTAATGGAGCTCAAATACTCACCTTGAGCGTGGTCTCTTGTATGTTGGACTTCTCGTACAAGACGCAGAGCTCATCGTTACGGTCGATCAACTGCACACCGGCAAAGTTGCGCTGCTCCACCGCCGCCTCGTACATGGCCTTGAGCCGGAGCATGTCCCTCTCCAAGGCGTTGATCACGCCGTTCTGCTTCTCGATCTCCACGATCTGCTGCTCCACCACTATGTTGTGTCGTCAGGGCAGGCAGGATGGGCGGGACCGGGGGGATATATAAACTTCCCGTTGTTGCGAAGAAGGGGATGCAGATGTTCTCGGGGATTCTCAAGTAGAGGGGGGACAGGGGAGGTGCAAAGAATGTCCGTCAGCCTAATAAGATTGTGTCCTAGAGGACGGCACCTGTCTTTTTCGCAAAGACGGCGAAGCGCACAGCACGAGGGAGGGGCGCAAAGGTACGCGAAATAATCAGCAGATCTCGCTATGAAGTAGTAGGAGTTCCGGTGAGAGGCCGGAAAGGCATCGGGGAGCGTCCCTTTAAGCCATAAACAAAACATCCGACAACGAAGCTGTCAAAATAGCAGAAAACGCCACCAGGCAGGTGAAGGCATGTACTCCGGTCACATGGACTACCAGCACCTGCTTTGCTAGCAGCGTCAGTTTCAACCAAGGACCACACATCGTGAGCAAACGTCGAGACCCCCACCGTGAATGATATCCTGCGCGAACAAAGCATATCATGTGCCTTACACCATCGCAGTCGCCTGCCGCCTCTGGGATAGTACACCCTGACCTCAAACGGTGGTCTCAGCGATAAATGTTAGCGCACGACACTACCCCCATAGATAAACTCTTCAAATTCTGTGTAGGCGGTCCCACCATGGCTTTCAACGCGGCAGTACTTAGTTCGTACAACCCTGCACAAGAATGATGATATCCGGTACTACCAAAGGCTTTCTCCCACGGATGCGGAGCCGTTGTACTCCTCGATGCTTCTCGCGCGCACCTTGCTGCTTTGTCCGGTAGTGCATGGAAGCGTTGTTTGCCTCCAAACGCAGCCCATCCCTTTGGGCCTGAGATGCTCTGCACACGATAAACAGAAGAAATGATCCGTACAGTGCATCGATTAAGAGTTCACGATGAAACTCCAACGGGCGGGTGGTCACGTCAAGGGCACCTTAGTGGTGCTTTCCAGCAACCGTAGTAGGTGGCTCTATCTGCGGGCCCAATGAAATGCGTTAACGGTCCGAAAGGCCGCTACTTCGACCCTGACGGGCCAAAGCGGGCGTCCGCCTACATTATGGTCATTTCAGGCACACTCTCCTGGCATTTTGTACGTGCGTTGTCGAGGATATCAAGCTTCCCTGTTGTAGACTGCAGAAGCTGGCATGTGTGGTGGAGAGACAAGAGTTGTGAATGGTGCTACTTTGTTGGGGGTTCAGGGTCTCAGAGGAGTGGTGAAGCACCTTCCAATCAATCCTTGAAATCAGTTGTACTCGTCAGTGGTAAGGATAGAATATAGCTCCGACACGCCTCGAAGCTGTTTTAGTCTTCTACCACCTCGCGTGTCCATTTTCGTTCAGATTCTCGTTCGCTCCTCTCTTACCGGTGAGCCACGCGTTCCTTCTTGAGGGCCTTGTCCTTGGCGAGGGATTCGTTTCGAAGGATATCCACCTGTTGAACGAATGCATGCGCGGGCAGTCGTGCGAAAGGCAGTGCCGTCGCGCCGTGCAAAGCGTGCTTGGGCGGGATGTATGTGTGAGAAGTTGGCGCGAGGTATTCCCTCTTCAGTACAAGTCAGCACACCCTTACAAAATATTCACCCCTGGGTGCATACTGGTACACAAGTTCAAGCCACGCGAACACATTGGAACACCATTCAAGTCCCATAGACGCCAAGAACTTCCCTGCCGCCCGTGCGACAGGCGCATGCTTTTCTCCCTGCCAACGTCTACATGGGGGGGTATTCTCAGCTGCCAGCGACCACAAGAGCGTCGTTGGCAGGCACCTCGTTGTGAAGAATCTTGATCTTCTCCTTCATCTCGGCGAGAGCCTGGTGGCTGGCCTGGATCAGGTTGACGTATTTGTTCCTCTCGTTCTTGACGACGTCGTAGAGCGCGGAGAACTCCTTGAGGCGGTTGTTGGTGTCGTTACACCTCTTCGACAGGTCTGCGATGACCAACTGCTTCATTTTCACCTTTAACAACGGAGTAGGGTTTACGTCGACACGGTATTTGGGGGTCGTGCGTGATTACAACACGTCAATAGAGCTCCAGAGTGGGCACGTGGACGGGTCACGAGGTGGTCAAAGAATCATGCAGCATATCCCAACTTTGAGCTGTGGGTGAGTTATCCCGGGGCCGGTCGAGAAAATGTATGCCGTGTGATGGTGTACAACCTTTTTCGTGAACGTAAAGAATATCGGCACGACGCACGCGTACGCACCTGCTGGGCGGTGTCTTTCTCAGCCTGTTGCGCCCTCAAAGCCTCGCCTTGCTTGATGTCCCGCTGCCCTTTCAAAAGAGCTACCAGCTTGCGCTGTCGCTTCTCTTCCTCGCCCCATTGCAGCACCTGTGGCACGCCCGCGCAACAGTAGCATTATCGCCGGAGCACCGCACGTAAGCCATACTCCTGACTGTAAAACGCGCAACCCGCGATGATTAAAGGGATTTGGATCGTTGGGTTGGACGGGGAGCTCACCACTGAACAGCGGCCGAGGCTACTTTGACAGACCTTGCTTTATGCTTGCACCCTTACGTTTTCGTCAAGCAAGGCTTCTTCGTCCTCACCACCCCATCTCTCCCGATAAACGTACATCCTTATACCGTATCACGAGGTATGCGATCCTATCCACTACTTCAAAGAGCGCTCCCCGTCCACGACTTGAGTACGGAAGCGTTGCAAATCCTACGGAGGGGTGCAGACCTCGGCTTCGAGGCCGTCGACTTCTTCCAGCAGAGCCGCCAGGTCTGATCGCTTCGAGTTCTCCGCCATTTCCTGGGAGAGAAACCTCGCTAGCCCAATGTCTACGTCCTGCCTCATGATGTCGGCCTTTGATCGGAAGGAGACGAGGAACAGGGGGGTGAGTTCGGCACGAAATGCTGGGATGAGGGGGTGTACTCATAGCCGTGCATGCCGTGGTCGTTAGACTGTTGATGTCGCATGAGGAGGCGGGGGGGGGTCACCGATGGTTCTACCTATGCCTCACGATGCTGGTCTGGGAGCAAAAGGGACAACGGAAGCAAGGCCTGCACGAGACACGAAGCCGGGGTCGACATTCGTCGGGTCTACCTTGTGATATCAGCGAAAAACCAAACACAAACACGGGGGGACGAGAAAGTGTCTATGACCTGCCTGGTGGTGGTGGCCTGTTGTCGAGAGAAGCACCGGCGCGGGGGTACAATCACACTGCCTCGACCATGGAGCGGCATCACATTGCTTCAAACAGGGAAGTAGCATCCAAAGTGCGAAAGTTTGTAATCACCTCATGGTTCAGCTCTTTGGCCAGCCCTTCCTGGCTCTGCAAGTCTGCTTGGACGTCGCCCAGCTGCTGCTCTAGCACGGGAACCACCTGCATTCGCACCGATAGGGGTTCCCACGGGGCTGCAGTGGTTAACACGACATTTTCGGTTTGCCTCGGTGAAAGCCACTGCCTGCGGCTTTCTCATCTGTCTGCCCGGTACGCGAACTTCGGCTTCAGTTTCCTCAGGTAGCCTGCCTGGAGGGGCGAGGCAACCGTGACGACACAGAGCACGGAACCCGCAGGAGCGACAAGATGGCACAAAACCCTGCGGGCGATGTACGGCTCGTACGTAGCCACACCAAAGCCAACCCTCGTGACAGCTAGATTTCTGACTAGTCCACGAAATGATCCACCATTTTGCTCGTCAGCAGGCGTGTGTTTCGTTGGCGAGAACAAACTTGAACTTGTTGCTCGCTTTTTAGCTACTCTGCAGCAGAGGGTGTTGGAACCTTGCCACCTTGAAAACTTGTAAACTTGAACACATCAAGACGTGAAAGCACCTATACGCCAGAACGTTGAAACGTGCAAATTAAAGAGCGCGCGTGGAACTTGCACTGTTTACTGTTTACACATACAGAACGAAGAAGAGGCTGCGAACGGTACGTTTTACTTGTGCACCTGCGGTGAGTGAGTATACGAAAACACGCACCAACCTGTCGTGCGGCTTCGGCGATGGAGCGTTTTTTTCTGAGCTTCCTCTTCATGAGCTCGAGAAACTTCCTCTCCATGGACAGCGTGTCTCCCTCTCGTCGAGTCTTTTCGTCCGCCTCCTTGCTCTGCAGCGTTAGCTCCACCCGCTGCAAGGTTTCGTTGTTGTTGTTGTTGTGGTTGTTGTGCGTGTGCATGCCATTTTCAGAGTCGATCGGACCTCACTACGTAAGATCGTTGACACAGTGGTCATTGTACAAATCACACGGTACATGAACGCGTTCTACACGAAGACAGAAGTGCGAACGTTTCTCGACTTACCCGGTTAGCATTTCCCGCCTTACTTACTGCCCAGGCTGCAGGCACTGTATGTCTTCTCTGGTGCTTCTATAGTAGTTTCGTCTCAACATATAGGCTTGATTCTTCCGAACGCGACGCACGGGTTTGATGTGACGGGAAATTATCGACGTCGGTATACGACGATAACACAAAGGGAGGCGACCAGGCCATGCAATCACTGACATCACGGAGATGCTCAGCGACTGCGGCAGCAATGTGCATCACACCTCCGTGAGGAGTTGGTGGTTCTTGGCCCTCTGCATCTCGAGGTTCGTGGTGACCACCTCCACGTCCTTTTGCCGATGCTGCAACGTGTCCCTGAAACAGAGCAAAGACAACCGCGGCCACCCAATGAGAGACAGACTGTCGGGATTCAGGCCCGATTCTTCTCTCCGTACTTTGCCAACATGGTGGCCTAACGCCACCAGCAGGGTAAGGATCGCCAGGTGTTCAAAAAGGTGCTGCAATGTCTTCGAGGTCCATGGTAGCAACAAAAAACAATCCTCAACATGATTGATTGGGGTGCGAGAAGAGCGTTTCAGAGGTCAAACGAGGGGTGAGGTAGGCCTTCAATCAACGTCGCACCTCAGCTACTCTCAACTCATGCCGTGGTAGGGATGCACAATAATATTCTTCTTACAGCCAGAACTCGATACCCCAGCCTAAATGGACACTAGAAAAATGAGAGTACGACGCGATAAAAAACCCGATGGGCTAAGCACATCACGAGAAATTACGTGATATTGCACGAGTATGGGCTGGTTTCTCATATGAGGAACCCCGAACACGAAGCTGTGCCATAAACTATTACAGTATGCTACCGTGGCATGACTACGCGTATCCTAGTTAGCGAATCCCCCCGACTTCCTTTCCGTTCGGAGCAGCGGCGACACCCTTGCTATTTCCGAGGAGTCATTTCTTGACGTTCGTTCTGTTACTCCTTGGCACGGTACACGTGCCATCGGAATAAAAACCTCGTCCTCAACATGTTTTTCAGATGTTCTCGTGCCAAGTTCCATTGGACATTCATTGACGAAGGGATTGTTTTCACGCTGATCGCCCTTTTTGTTCCATACCATTTCCATGCATCATCGTGAGGCAACCTGCTGTGCTTTGTAGGACGATTGCCGGCACCTTCCCCACATGATTTCGATTATACCTACGGCATGGAATTGCACCATGCGCATACAATGGTACCCTGCGTACGTTCTGGGTCAAAACGTTGTTACGGAATGCAAGCGAATCTGAGATACGAAAATCCGCCACAGGACACAGCAGCTCACAGGCATCGATACTTACCTCTGTAGCTCCAGCTTTTCGATGAGCCCCCTCTTGAGCTCGGTGGCTTGCTGACGTTTTTCTCTGATGTTCTCCGCCTCCTGCTCCGCCTTTGCCGTGCAAAGCTGCAACCGTCGCACCTATTTGCAAGCAGAAACAAAAGTTCCCACACGGAGGTAAGCCGGCGGATGGCGGATCTACCATGCTCTCCTACACCGTACTCGAGTGTCGCTAGAGTACAAGGTGCAGGAGAAAGCCGACCCGCATTTATTATCCGAACTCAGCACCGTAGGCGCGTCGGCACCCATCCTGCCGTGTTTCACAGAACCTCCGCACTTTTAGCGAGAAGAGCGAGTTCTGGGTCGCAGGCATCGTGGGGTTCGTATCGTTTCGAGATTGAAACAACAACAACAACAACAACAACAACAACATGACACCTCTGCTTGTGTTACTTGTGCCCATCTCAGCGGTGATCCATGTGTCGATCGACGACCTTCACGACCAACCCACCTCGGCGTCGAGGGTGGAGGCAGCTCTGTGGACGCTGTCTCCCTGCTTTCGAATCCTGTCCGGCTCTCCGCCCGTCTTCGACAAGTAAGCCTGACGATAACACATAGAACGATACGTTGGTCGTGGAGAAGCGAGATGTGCCGTTGTCCTATGGGCTATTCTCGATGTAACAGGCCATATTTTTCATGAAGGCTTGCTCGCGCAGAAATCATCTTTATCTAGACGGAGATACAATATTGACGAAGAGCAAATACGAACCAAAGAAGACCACAGGGAAACGATTAAATGCACGACGAGCCGAGGGGTATAGGGCAACATGGGGGAATCTTATGTCGCTCACCTGGAGCCTCTCCTGTTGCCTCCCGAGGTCAATCCTGGTATCTTCCAGCACCTCCGACTTTTCCAAGAGGGTTGTTTTGAGGGCTTCGTCTTTCACCGTCTCCTTGTCGAGCCGCTCGAGCTGCTCCATTGGCAGGCACACGGTCAAGGTTAACGCTCTTAGGGTGATTGGTCGAGTAGGATAGTCGCGGTTCGAGGTCTATGCACTCCAAACGGACGAATCACTTCGTGGATCTTGTGCCTCTGGCGGTCGGGCAGTGCAAACTGCTGCCCGATTTTCCTTGGCGATGGGGTGTTCGAGGGCTCAGGATCATCGTACCGCTGAGGACGACCCCACACGCAGCCGAAGATTGGCCGTGTTTCTACGACGTTTTACATCCTACGCCACTTTTGAATCTGGAAGTTCGGCAGCAGATCCCACGGTCGCTGAACCCCTCTGACGTTCTGCGTTCTGGCCTGACGTCAGACTCACCTATCTCGGCCACACGAACGAAGGCATTTCGGGACAACCCAAACACCTAGCCGTCCGTGTGAAGACTAATGCAAGACACGAATGAGAACGCCTATCCTGTGGTGGACAGCTGTGGCTGGATACAGCCGAGGCAACGCGCAATCCTCTCGTGATGTAGACATCATCCGCTTGCCTCTGCCTTTAGTGCTTCCACGACACCCCCCAGACGCTCCAGCTCTGGCGATACCGCGCGACTATTCTCCATGTTGAGCTCCTCCAGCTGCCCTCAATCGGTCGGATATAGTTAGAAGCCGTAATGCGCCAATCGGCATCCGCAGGTCACATACGTCGAAACAGGGACGCGTGCAACGCGGGCAGAAACATGTGTACGTCTTCTGTGAATTCGCCGTAGCCGTTTCAGTCAAAAATCGTCGGAAAATGTGAGGGAATGCTGATATCTGTTGCTGTAGACCGTAGGTATTCTGTCACAGGAGTAAACCGGTTGATGATTCCGGCACAGACCACAATGCTTTGCATTCAGCAATGTGGGCGCAATGAGTTCGGCATACCTGATAGTTTAAGTCTTCCGCCGTTGCGCTGAGCTCCCCCACCTCGTACCTACGTGGTCGCGTCCATATTCGCCAGGATGGTCAAATGGAAGACACGAATATCCACAATATCGAGATAACCCATCGCCGACGCTCCATTCTCACAAACAGCAACAACGCCATCATCTGGCTATCACCTCATACCACGACGCAAGCGTTGGTACGACCACGCGTCACCGGATCAGTGTTGAAACAAGATGAGGATTGTGTAATTGCAGCCTTCCATGAGATCGAAAAAGAACAATTAATTGATTATTGTTGGGCTGGCGCTTTGGCGTGGCCTCTTCTGCGACGAGCATCGTTACCTGAGCGCAGTTTCCCGTCGTTCAACCTCTTGTAGCGTTGCGGCCTCTGAGTCTCTGCGCTCCTCCAACAGCCTAACTTCCTCCAAAGACGCATCATGGACCGCTCGTGCCTGCGGTACGGTCCAACACAACAAGTTCCCAGCGGCATCTCATTGACCCGAGGTTATGTGTAGGTATACGATGTAGACTACAGGCATTTTGGAGCGTGCAGGCGTCGTAATCCTACGCGGCACCATGCGTGCCACACGAGCTACATATCACAAATCATCGTGTCGTTTCTCAAACCGGCGTCGCCAAGACTTCCAAGCCCAGACAGAGACAGTTTCATTTACCACGACTGTTGAAAGTGTTATCTGAGCTGTTTAATACACGGCGTGTCCCAGGAACGAAATACTCTGGTAGTTTGATGTCCAGTGTGGGCACGTGATTTGTCCCGCAGATAACCAACGAAGCCCAAAATGTACCCCCTCAAGGTTCATCTCTCCGTCTCGCGATATAGAGAACGTATTCTCCGGTCATAGGCATACTGTACCTTCTCAAGACGGATTTCTTCTCCGAGACACTCGTTGTGGAGGCTTTTCACCGTGCGCAGGATCTGAATTTAATGGAGGAGCAGCAATGGACGGAGAACACGATAGACTTATAGAAGTAAAAATTCGTGGCAGATACCACCAATGGCGTTTGAATTGTGCTTAACTTGAGTAATACTATCGAAAGCCTTGAGAACTAGACCAAGCGTCAATGGACGGAAATGAACTCTACGGTTGTCTCCGAGGCTTTTACCTTCCGCACGCAGTCAAAACGTGTGTGGGCGTGGAGAGCTATCCCGTGGCCATGTGCACGTCCTTATGGTTTCGGCGGTAGTTGCACAGTTTCACAGATGTCGCCCATTATTTGACTGTTGGCAGAACCACTTGCCAAACAGCGGCAGGCTGCTATTGTACTTATTTCATACGTTATATAAAAGACCATTTACAACAACTGTAGACAACTTGTACATTGGACACATATCCAACCGTCCCTGGACAACTGTATTTCGAAATGAGTCTTCCGATCGGTGCGCGTCGGTTGTCAGAGAAGAGAACGCGGGTGCGTAGCAACCGCGATTAAGCAACAGCTAACAAATGACCAACTCATGTCGTGGAGCTAGCTCTATGGTTGTGATCAATCTGGTTCAAGCATGTTTGAACTCACTTCGCGTTCTGCTCGGTGTGCGGTTACCACAAGGTTGTGCATTTTGCGGTAGCGCTCCCTGTATTCCGCTGCGACTTCGGCAGAAAATCTGGCGTGGGCGTGCAAGCAACGGGGAGAATCAGGGGACATTGAAGGTTAGGGGGGGAATCTCAACATGACTTCGAATGCGTGTGTCCGAGTGTCCTTATGAGTCGTTTCTCAGCACGGAGTCACGGATTGATGGAGACAGTCACCGTCGGAGAATGCAGATGTTTACACCACATGTACTCCCAGTGTTACTAGTACCCTCCCTGTAGTCTTACAAGGCATCGAGGATGCAAGCAGTGAAGTCTGCATATATATCATCACGAACGGAACGTATTTTAGGACTCGATAGGTTTTAAAAACAGGACTGTCAATTTACGGTTGGTGCCACGGTTTTAGTCTAGATTCCTACACCCTCATATGGTTATTCAGACACAGAGATAGATGTGTTGACTTTCTGTCGAGCAAATCGCCACACCACCATATCACCCAGACAACGTAGTCATTGAATTTAATTCGACCCACGTTTTGTCGGTAACCCGATCATGTATGTTGACGAAGGCAATGGAGAGGTCGACATCTTGTTCGTCGATGGTGCTCTTGGCTAGGTGTTGCTCCCTCTCTTCGATGTCAATGACGTCATTTTGGCCGCCGCTGTCGGAGGACACGCTCGAATCAGCTGGGAAGGCATTGCCCCGTACCTCCTCCGCTACCATACGGACCACTACACCTACCTCCGTGGAGGCTGTGAAACGCGGTATGTGCTGGTTGTCTGGATGGTGTTCGTACAGCTAGAAGTTAGGGGGAGAGGGAGAGGGAGAGAGAGGAGAGAGATCCCCGATCCCGAGAATGTGACGTGGGAAATGAAACGTCGGATTATATCGAAGAGTAACAATCCGCCCGAGAACCCACTTGCATGCGGCGCAACTTGTTTCAATTTTACCAATTGGCGAACACTTCCTTGATGAGAGAGACACACACAGCGGGCGGGGCAGACTACGGGGAATAGACAGGCAGGGAGGCCCGTTCCCCCCTCCCTTCCCCCACACACAAGCACACCAGAATGGTGAGCGCCTTTCCAGGTCTGAGCTACCATGGCCCCGACCGAAGACTGATCCTAACTGGGCTCCAAGGTACGACAATATTAGGATTCACAGGAGGCACGTGGGATATGGCGAGAGGTGGAAGAGTTCATGCGCGCGTGAGCTTATGACAATTGGTTCAAACTTCTTGCTATTGCACATAGTCGGGGGTAGAGGGGGGTTTAATCGGCGGCATCATTGTTGACCAATAGGAAAGACGGTTACGCAGTCTGCGTCGTGTCGCAAAATGGTGAATGTTTGCGTGGCGTTCAGTCATCGGTGTGCCACTCAGAGCTCTCCAGACGATTCAAAGTGATGCAACGCAGTAGACGATGTGATACACCGAGCATGCAACATAAGTTACTTTTCCTGCACACACACTTTAGATGTTAGGTCTACTGCTGTAGTGTGCACCGACAGTTGGTTGAAAAAGCGTTAGGCTACCGAGATTCTCAGAGTCACAAAGGACCGCCCGTGCGCCGGCGGTAGTGGAAAAGGGCAAAAAGCTAATCTGCACAGCTGGAGACCACCATAAGAGTTGTTTCTACAGTGGAGAAGTGCCATACGCACACACAGCCGTAGTCGTCACCCACAGAGGGACTGTTGTGGCAGATTCGAAACGAGCACCGGGCGTCTACTGTAGACACAACTAGACTTCAGCTTGAATCAGAAGTCTTCTCACCGAAACGACAAAGGCTCAAACTCCATCGTCCGAGCCACGCGGGTTATTTGACGGCTTTCCATCTCTCAGGCTTTGAAGGCAGCTGAGCAGAGAGAGCTGAGCGTCAACATCAACTTCCCCAGGCGAGGAATGGGACAACACTCAGAGCTACATGGACAGGAGTAGGCCAGGATCATGGTGCAGGAGGCGACAGTGAAAATGCTGCAGGATGACGGGGTTTTCGTTTCAGGAGAAAGTGCGCAGGAAGTGGCAGGTGCGGTTGCTGTTCTGGCGGCTGGTGCAACCCAAGCGATGAAACGAGCCGCCCCCTTCTGAGATCAGGGGTTTTGTATGGCCTGCGGTCTTCTTCCTGCAATGTTCTGCCGAAGAGTCATGGTGTACAGATCAACTGTCATGGCTACGTGGTCAATCCGAGAGTTGCCACGTTCCATGATCCATGCGATGACTGAACGACAATGCGAGGCTGCGTTTGGAAGCGACGAGGCCTGCTCGCCCCAGCAGTTGCACGGATCAAGCCATGGTTTCGAACACGTGTGCACACGTTACCGCATGTCGTGGTCATAGAGCCTTACCCCGCCTTCTCAAACGCTGAACTCGTGCCCCCATTGCGGTTGTACCTTCTTGGGAAAAGGGACCGAGGTGGACTACTGGGAAGAAGTCGCCTTGGAAGACGGAACGGTGTGCTTCTACAACCACACCCGGCAGGAATACTTCTCCTTGTTGCCTGCGAACGATGCAACCAATGGGTGCCCAGCAAGCGTCGACGAGGCTCAACCGACTGCAGTCGGGGAGTTCAGCCACGACAACAGCTTGGAGCCGCTGGAGGGCCAGGTATGGGATGGGGTCGACGGGGAGGTGTTTGTTCCGTGGCCGGACGAGGAAATGAGGGCCTCACCTGACGCGGTCGTGGCACACAACAAGGCGCTGGAGACGACCGAAGGTGCGGTTCGACGTACCGTATTGTCGATGAATGGTAAGGAGGTACTTAAGGATAGTAGACTGTCAGGGCCTTACACGGGACAGCCAGAGGCTGAAATATCTCGAGCTGAGGCATGACCCCTGCCCACGGGTCGAGTGCGGTCGTGGCCAGCGATTGGCAGGTGAATTGACGGGGATATCTTGATAGACCCCACCAGTGGACCTACTCCGACAATTTCGACCGTGCGCGACCTGTGGGGAACAACTCAGAAGGTCCTCCACAACATTCCAGCACTATGCTATCCTCTACACCATATTGCACTGCCAGTAGGAAAATTCAGTGAAATGTGGAAACGATGCCACAGCCGAGGTTAAACCGCAAGCCACATATGTTTGTGAACCATACCCAACAACGCAAGTGCTACAGCGTTTCCCAGGAATGTCGGGCACGCTGTTAAACCCTAGCTTTTCCTGCAGCACAGCTCTCACACGGTTTGCTCTGTAGGATGTACTTCGTCTATCTCGAGCAGAGACTGGCAGACAGATGCACCGCCAACGGCAACCTCTGCGATTGCTGCCGAAGAAAAACATGTCGGACGTGCAGGGCGATTTTGTACTTCGGCCTTGCAAGGCCTGTGGGTCAAGTCTTTGGCTCCACTGACGTACCCTGTATGGAACATTCTCGCGAAATAAGGTGTCAATTTCATAGTTTTGATGTCTCGCACTCGTCACTTGCGGAAATAAATGTCTCGATACGCGTGTGTGCTGTACCCCCGGGTGTGATGTCTGCAACCTGCCGTACCGCATTCTATTCCGCCGAAACCACCAAGGTGACGATGAGGAGCCCTTCACGCCTGACGATCCTGCGGTGGTACGGGAACAAAACCTGCGAGCGCTGCTAGTGTTGCTGCCGGCAAAACTCATGAACGGCGTAATCAAAGCGGCCATGGAGGGAGCCATGCTGCACACGAGACGGACGGCTACTGCCGACGCCGAGAAGAGGCGGCGATTGCTTTTGTCGAGCAGGGCACAATTCAGGCACACAGCAAAAAAAAACTGTCAGGTGTGCTAGTGGAGACACACCCTCGGTGGTGGGTAATTGCTTGAGACGGCTTGAACTCAAGGGACAGGAATGAGGTACAACAACAGCGGTGGCATGGCTACCCGCGGGGTAGTTGGCGGTCAAGGAGGATCCTTAGGAAAGTGACTTTTCGACTTGATTCTTCCCCTGGATATTCTCCTAGGACCATGTACAGTTTAGATCTACAGTACATCCACTTTTCATTAAACCTACCAAGATCCAAGCAGGCGACCCTTACTCGAACCTGTACCCGTTGGGTGTAGGCTAGCCATGCAGCGCTGAAAAACAACAACTGCCATCCTACTCCCTTGACCAAAGGATGCGGCCCCGACCCAAACATCACCCCAGGGCGATATGAAGCACAAGGATGGTGATGGTTTCGACGACGAGACTGAGGAGGGTCCGACAGCGGAGGGCGAAACCGTCGATAGCGCCGAGACGCCGGACTCGCGGAGGAACACCACAACACAAGAGAGAGATACCATCGTGGGACACAAACTTCAGGAGGTGAGAATAGCCGCCAGGGGTGGAAAGTGAGCGCGGAACGAATGATGTCACTGACGACTGCGCTAGAACCGGGGCAAATTCCTTGTCAGGGCCCGATTGTGGCTTAACATTACACGCAATTTCGGTCTCGCAAACGTTTCTACGCCGCATTCAGCAAGAAAAACGGTTGACGGATGTCAATATGTACTAGTTGGTTTTGGAGCCATCAAAGGCATTCCTTGTAAGAACATGAACACCCAATCCTAGAGGGGCCAATCCACCGTGGTCTAGTACATCTTGATTCGCGAAACGTCACGCCGCTCCCACCATAACGTCAGCCTTGGTAACCGTTGTATCTACATATCAGGTGCTAAGAGTTCTTTACTCTACCTCCACGGAAGAAGCCAGAGTTACGATGAGGGCGATCTACTTGTCATCTCAGGGAATCGGTGCAGCAGGGGCTCAACAGCTGGTAAGAAACCGACTGCAGGGCTCTGTCACGTTTGTGTCCTGTCTACAGTGTGTGAGGGGGGATCTTGTTGATGCTGTAGTTCACCCTCCAAAAGCGGCCGTCAAGCAGCTGGGCCTAATAGCTGCGGGCTCCTAGTCTCAGAGGGGGAAAAATCGGTGGCAAAATAGGAAGAAACATTTAGCGCATTGTGGGGGAGTCTCAACACGATCAGCAACATGTGTCCTGTATACAAATTGCTATGGGCCGAGAGAGTGATATCCTGAAGGGCGGGCTAATGCCGGCCCCTTGAAATGCCAACCTGACCCCCGAAAGAACACCAGCACCACCAGACCCAAAAGGCATGAAATCGAGAAACATGCTAGATTTTCGCCCTGCCCGGGTTCCCCAACAACTTCAGGCACCCGCGCTGAAAGACTGCGTCATCGTAGCCTTGCACCTCGGAAACAACGCCTTGGGAGACAAGGGCCTTTGTTCCCTAGCAGATGGTCTGAGGCATGCCCGAGGGCTGCAAAAGTTGCACCTCAACGACAACGAGGTGAGATGTGGTAGATAATACGTACATCGTGTTGATGGTTACATTTGCCCCGTACAGGTAAGCAGGCCTGGCTTTGAACCAAGGATTTTGTCGGCCACGAACGATAAAAGGCCATGAGTTTCGATCTCTGATTGCACTCGTTGTATCGGAATCTGAACCTCCTAACTGTTTAACCCCACCCCCCCTCTCCGATGTTTGCCATCGGGGTTGGGTTTTCGTCGCTTGGCAACGACGTTGTAAAACATGCCGCCTCCCCCGGTGTTTGCCATCGGGGTTGGGTTTTCGTCACTTGGCAGCGATGTTGTAAAACAAGCCGATCACTTCGTGAACTCGGCAACCAGGTTACCGCCTTTTATTACCTCTGTTTGGTTTTGGGCGGTAAACCAACGGTGGTCGAGTTGATTATGTTGTGCGGGTCGAGAACCCTCACTCCGCGCAAAGAAGATAATCGTACCACGTTGTGTAAAAATGGTCAAGCACCCTCGAGGCAGTTACACTGTGCTCACAACTGTCTCTGGAAGTGAAAGCACCAGAAAGTAAATTGAGTCATACGCAGCTGTCATCCGTACGCAAGGAAGTAAGCACAAGATGCCGAACACCCTTAGCAGGATGCAGCGCACCCTTCATGCGACTCGCCGAATACCTCGCGGCGCTTCGCGCTTGGTGATGTGAGAGCCTGGTCCGGTGAGAACCCGGCGTGCTCCGTCCCGGCTTTGTAGGGATGCGAGGTCAATGGTCTAACGACTACGGCATGCACGACTATGCGTACATCTCCCCTAACGTTATCCACCGCCCCCGTCCAATGATCGTCCTTTCACCAATACCCTTTTCGCAGATAACAGACGTAGGATGCCACCGGCTGGCCAACGCGTTGGGCCCCTTGAAGGTCCTCTCGACCCTCGACTTGTGCCACAATCCATTCGGCGACAAGGCTTGCCTCTCCCTGGCAATCTACCTGTCCCAACAAGGGTGTCCACTCCGGTCTCTGTCCCTGGCTGGCTGCCTCGACGTCGACCCGGCTGCTTGGAAAACCATTAACGTTCGTGGGAAGGAGGGGATGCGGTGGGATCCTCCCCGTCCGGGGGACGATGGTGCTGTGTCCTTAGCTGCGGCGCTAATATCGCCCCACGGTTGCCCGCTCAGGTATTCTATGTACGAACCGACACTGTTCACGTTGTCTTCTATAAAGCAAGTCGTGTACGATATCGTATCGAGGTGTGCGCAAAACGGCCGATTGATAGGTAGCCACAGCTCCAGAATAAACAACGGTACATGGGGTTATTGTGCACCGCTCTGTGTCTTCCGACCCTCCTCACGACCTTTTTACAGACCCGGTTGATTGAAAAGTACCACAGCTCCGGTGGAACCAGCCGTACATGGTATTCGTTGTGCACCGCTCTGCCTCTCGCCACCCTCCTCCCGGCCCTACTACGGACCACGATAGTATTGGTTGTGGCCAGCGGGCACCGCGGTAGGGTCAAAGCGATTCTCCTTGGCCCTCTTGGCAATGGCACGCACATGCTGAACCTCTCTCGCCCAAGACATCTCGGCGTCGATAAGCATTGAATGCCCAAATTGATTTTGGTCTATGAATGCTTCCCTTGGATACAGGAGGCTTCGCATGGCCAACGCAGGGATGAAAACAATCGGGGCCAAGGCGATCGCGACCGCTCTCTGCGCGAACCGCACCCTGGAAACTGTCGACGTGTCTGGGAATGACTTCGGGAGTACGACGGATGCAAGCGCTTGGGAGAGTGCAGCAGACTTGCTGTCGTTTGGACTTCAGGCGAGTGGCAGGGCTTGTTATGGCGGTTGCCAACACGGAAAAACGCGTAGATGGACAAGGAGCTCTGACTGTAGATGCAGTTCATCCCTGCATTGTACAAGCCTCCAAGGGCTGATCGTCATTACGGACAACAGCAAGAGCACTACGTATTCACCCTCCTGCCCGCCTTAGCGAGGAATGCGCTACAATGACCGGTTGTAAAATGAAACCGCCAGAATCACTGTTTTCCACGTCACTCTCGCGGCTCAAATACTGTCGTCTAACCCCAGGTGAACACAAAGGTGCACACCATTGTCCTGCGAGCTTGTGGTTTGAGTCGCGAACAGGTCTTGGCCATACAAGCAAACACGTCTCCCCAAATCACAAGAGTCGGCAAAACAAGCCGGCAAGAGGAAAGGAAGGACGAAGTTCACTCTGACGAGGGTGACGGCGGTGGTGGCAAGAAGAAGCAATTGCCTTGGCGAGAGGAAAAGCGGCTCGGATTTCGAGCGGCTTGTCTGAGGGATTGGTTGCTAGACGCCGCCAGGTAAGCCTCACGTGCGGAATACACGACTTTAGTGAAATATTTTTGGATACGTCGTCCACATTTACATATTGCACATGCAACCAAGCGCACAGTGAAAAAATGTATATTGTTGTAGGAGAAACACTCGGGGGGAGTGACTGCCTTAACGGTTTTGGCTTGCTCTCTACTGTGGTATCCCCACCGCGCGCTATTCTTCGTGTTGGCCTGTGCGTTCTCGGCAGGGTCCAAGGGATGCGCTATCCGCGTCCGCTATCTCCTGATCCAAACGACAGAGCTGCATCAGTAGTACCAGACTGTGGCGGACGCAACGGGAACGATAGCTTTGCATTGGTGGCCTCCCATGATCCAAATTCTCGACGAACAGGGGTGGGTTTGTCCTACGGCGAGGACGGCGACCAATCATTGGTAGAGCCACAGCTATGGTCAAGTGTAATGGCATTGGGCAGAGTCGTTGCCTCCTGTGAATCGGGAATGCCGTTACCGCGTGGAATGAGCAATACCAACCACATTGCTGGCAACGAATCTGCGAGCGACCATAGGGGTTGGCACACAAAACGGCCGTCCAAAGGTTTAGGGATCAACGACAAAATGAGATCCGATGGGGGGACTCTACGCCAGGAGTCGGTGGATACTTCCGCAGTTGTACCCGACGAGGCCCAATCACCTATCCGTCAAAACTCATTTGCTGAGAGAGGGCGGGTTTCCAAAACGCAACGAAGATCGGCATCAAAACCCACTCTATCACCACCAACTCGCTCGTGTGAGTCTTGCGATAGAGGCATAAAGGAGACGAGCATTTCGGATATACAGACCAGCTTGAAGCGACACCACTCCACAGAGAGTTTACGCTCATCTGGGGGCGAAGGAGGCAAACTTTGTCGTGACGTCTTCGAGAACCAGTGTGGGCCGCACGTTCGATCCAGGAAGAGCGAGACAGACATCTCGGTCCTTTTGGGGGCACCAAGCCGCCACGAAGGGGGCAAGGGCGAAGATGGTTCTCCCGGACAAATTGTTGCTGGTGACGATGCTGGCGCGGAGGGGCAAGACCAGTGGGCGAGGGGCCAAGCGATTCACTCTTTGTGTGGAGGGGACAACACACTCATACGCGCCGCGGATCTTAAAGCGGCAGCCGAAGAGGGACTAAGACTTGGCTTGTTAGCAGCGGCGAAGTGCCTAGATATGGATGAAGAAGAGGCAGCCCTGTCACGGTTAGTACGTAAACTAATAGCTCAACGTGCGTACTGTGGTGGGGAGGACGAAAGGCGTGCATAGCTACCAACTCGTTGTTTGAAACCTGTAATGAAAGGGCCACAAAGTCTCTGGTGACTGGTGTATCTGAACGTACCTCGAATTTATCTCTGTTTCGGAAAATCTGGATTACCCATACGACGGGCGACTTGAGCGTGCTCGAACTTGACACTTTTTCCCCGTTCAATGATCTATTTGTGTCGTAGCATGAAGAGTCCGCAGGTTCACAAACGTGATCTCTGGGGGCTGGTACACGGAAAACTTCCGCCCAACCGAATAATGAAGGGCGATTCACACCTTTTCAGGAAGACATGCTGTAGCCATCAAGACCATTTGGCGGAAACGCTCCCTCATTGAGCCCCGGTTTATTCCGATAGTAGAGGGTGACTCTTCATCCGCGTCGGCGTACAGTGGACATCGCCCCCGCCCAGTATTCGCCCAGTGTTCGAGGTATACTGTAGGTGGCTGTAGGTGGTGCGTACGCGGTTTGCCGACGCACTTCCACCAGGCGCACGTCAACGAACATCGTCTTGAGCCACGGAAATACACGCTCGAAGAACATGAGACACGTTTGCAGCCTCACTCATTTCGATTATTTTTGCGCCTCTCGTAAACAAACTGTCTCGACCACAAAGCGAGAGTCAGTCACTTCATCAACAGCGAGAGGATTTTGGAGAGCGAACTCAGGCAGATGTCTCGTCGCTGGAAGAATCGCTTGCCAATGCTAGGGATCTTCGTAAAGCGGCCAGGGATAGCGTGAGGCGCTTGGATCCTATTGCGAGAGCTGCAAGGAACTCACAACGAGGTAAAGCTACCATCTCATGGCATCCTTGCGTGGTCACTTTGCTGTCCTAGAGCCAGATTGACGAAAATATTCCGTAAAAGGAAATATCATTCCCCCCCCCCCCCCCCTGCCTGATTTTCAAAGCTCGGTTGCCCCACGACCAAGCTATTGCCAACATGAAGAATCGTGTATTTGGAAGAATCTCGTCGAGGGCATTTTGTAGGCGTATCGGGCTCTTTTCGTGTCCACTTGGTGGTGTGTCCACTTGGTGGTGGAGCGGTCGATGTTTGAAATCGGACGAGAGGGGTTGCCATTTCTCTGCCTCTTACGGTACTATTCTTGGTTCGACTAAGAATCTCAAGACGTGTACTACCACGGTTTGGCCGATTTCGTGAGCGCGAATGCTAAGGCGCGTGGCCAACTAGGCTTCAAGACACAGAGACACGTTGGCTGCTCCTGTCGATAATTCACTTCGTGGTTGCTGATCGGGAGCTCGCGAAGATGAATTGTGTGGGTTGTATCTCATGTCTTGTATCGGGTGCTGGGTCAGAGTGAAAAACAGGATGTAGAACTGCCAAAAGTTTCACTATTTGTTGAGCTTACGTTGTCTCCTCGTATGTAACCGAACTTCTCAACAGTCATTGTCAACGCGTTGTGTGAGCCACGTGCATAGCAGTACTGTATCATTTGGAGTGAAGGACGTAATAAACACTCAATTGCACGCAGGCTGCGGACAAAAGGGGCGCAATCCACCGCAGATGCGGCGTATGGTATTCTCCGTTCCTTGCCCCATACGTGGAGCCCGCGAGTGCAGGGCTCCCAGCTGTTGGCATCGACACCGTTACTTTTTCACTCCAGTACCCGAACTGCCGTGCCGTTATTGTTTATGCAGCTGTCGAGGTGGAACTGCGTGGGCAACAAAAGGAAACCGAGACAACCACCTACAGTTTTGTTGACCGAGTGGAGTTGGAGCGAGACTTGCAAGAACGCGCGGATCACGCCGAGGGGATGGAAACTGAGCTTCGGGGGGCTCGAGGTCGCCTTGAAGCAGCGGAAAGGTGGGCTTCGAGTGCCTACGACTTTGGCCGACGGTCATGGCTTTCCTATGTTTTGTTCTACGAGATTCGATCCTAAAGTGTACAGTAGCCGGTGACCGTGCCAACCAACATTTGGTTGGTGCGTCCCACGTTTAGGCTATTCATCTCGAATATATACGTCAGCCACACTCTCCGGTCATATTGGACATGATTGCAGCGCCGTGTGCAGGTTAGTGTTCACCCTCGTCCGATGTAGCCAACTCGTACCCTTCCAACCGTTTTGTCTTAGCCAGAGAGCCCTCGAACATGCCGGCACGAATTGTAAGGTCAACACAGAGAGTTGTAGCAACTTGCGAAAGCCACGCTTTTGCTCTCGCCCCCCTCCACAACAGGAGAATTGATGAGCTGGAAGCAAAGGAGCGAGGCCTCCGATCACGCCTTAGCGTCTACGACACCATGTTCCGAAAAACAACAGCAGACAAATCTTCGGCGATGGCCGTTGTTGTTGCCAAGCGGAATGCTTTGAGGAGGACCGAGAAAACCGTCGTCGGTTTGGCGTCGAAATTACGGAAGCTGGCGGAGATTGCCAGAGACGAAGAGGCGTTGAGGGCGGTTGTTCCTGTTGGAAGTGACCGGTGAGTCCGTTACCCTCGATTTTCCGATACGATGCCTACCGTGGGACTCGTTGTGATCACAAATGACCTTGCGTTTAGTCCACTCAATCGCAAAGTTCCTGCCAGGGCTGACCAACAGCGCCACAGAGCCATGACATGTATATTTGGCGAAATGGCGCGGAACGTATCTGCACGGCCAACAGGACCGTCGACATCTTCCATTATGCGTGAAGTGGGCCATGTTGTTTCCCATGGGGATAATATGCTAGAGCCTTCCGTGGCCCATTACCTCAAATGAATCACTTGCGTATTGGGCTGCACTTTTGTTCACGTCGTCAGTGGGGTTGGTCAGCTCCAGGGGTGATGACCACTGTAGTCTGGAGCATCTGTTGTCCTTTCTACCTATCGTGGAGGGCAAGAAAATGTTGCTATACGGTCACGTACGTGATGGATTGAACAAGACGGGAAGGACGTTTCGCGAAACTGTTCGAAATATAGTAACCTGAGCCTCGATACGGCGCACGATGCAGGCGAGACCTGGACCTTCAAGTTGCGGAAGCTGTGCATATAACATCGGAGACAGCGCGGGAGGTGGAAGAGACGGGGATACGGCGAGATGAGGCAGCGGTGGCATTGGAAAAGGCGCGGCTGAACCTCTCTAGGTAAATGGGGTGAGTTTTGCCTCGACTTGCGGCCATCGCTTCATGGCCAACCAACAATAGTTGCAAACACGTCCACGAGCACTGTGACACTCCCTTTCTCAGAGACAGAACTCAGTGAAACAGCTACGATCCACTTCGTTTTATCACGGCCGGACTGCCATACCTCATATAGCAGAGACGACATGGGTCATGGTATCGTGCTTCCTGGGAGTAACGAAGCGGCAACAAGGGCGCGAACAGCTCCTTCCGTAAGGTCGACAGCTGACAACACTAGGCTACACGGCAAGCTGTCTTACGATGATCTGTCGTCGTCGAGCGAACGAGCACCAGCCGTTACTGAAGGCACGCCCGGGCTGAGAGGCGATGCTTGCAGGGACGGGCCTGGTGTGCATATCCCCAATGTCACTGGCGATGGTGGCATCGACCCTAAAGGTGGAGGCGCCAAGAACGGGGATGGGAGGCAGGAGCAGCACGCACGACGAGCGTCTGCGGAAAGAGGGGAGACACAATCAGGGCGGCGGGAGGAAGGGGCAGGGACAGATCGAGTGATTCCGTTGCACACAGGTGAGGCAGAGTGCGCTGAAGAAGGCACAGGGTCGCATCGACCAATAAGTAGACTTGTTTCTGTCCGGACAATATCTAGAACGATGGACGGTACTATATTGGCACACACTACAAGATAGAAAACTGCCACTGAGAACAACGCTTGGAAGCGGTGGCCTGGTCAAGCAACGGGCTGTAAACAAATTGATGAAATAGTCTCATCATACACATGAAATCGAACCAGACCAAGGGTGAACAACTTTTTTTGTGGAGACGGTGCTTCGGTACGATGGCATGAGAAACGTCTGCATCAGTTGGCACTATGACTCAACGCACGAATGCCATCAACCCAAACAAAATCACCCCCCCCCCCATCACTCTACTACATTCCGAAGTCACCACGACTAAGACGGCCCCGAACGCCCGTCCGAATAACCTTTCCAGACGAAGCCATGGTTGGAGCAGACCCAATATCTGAGGCTACCGGAGATACAACTCCAAACCATAAAATCAGCACGAACGCCTTCGCACACACAAAATCGCCAATGGAAGCAGAGGTGAGGCGCATTTTGTCGGAAGGGTTCCGTTACGGAAGGTTTTCCCACGAAAACTGCTGAAGTCCTCTTTCGTGATTGATTATATCGTCTCGCGGTTTTTTTCTAGATCTCGGTGATGAAAAATACTGCTCGTGTTTTTGCAAGGTAGCAGTTTTCGATGGCACGATGTTTCGCAAGCGCGTTCGTCTCTCCCTTCAGGGTTGCGTTTCGGTTTGAGAGACAGAGGTGAAAAGCGCCCATAGCAAAAACAGCGACTAAGTTGATGGAAGAGACGCATCGAGGTGTAGCCAATCGCCCGTTTTCCTATCCTGCGACATGTCCGCCCGTTTCCACACCTGGTGCTTTTTACCGAGAAGGAGGTGCAGCGTCTGAGCGAAGCGTACTCCGAGGCAACTCAAGAGTACCTGAACGCTGTGGTAAGCGATGCTCCACGTAGAATTAATTTATCTGTGCTCCACAGGAAGAGCAAAAAAGCGCTCAACTCCAAGTAGTCGGCCTTGGTCGCCCTGTCATCCGGTTTCGTTGGGTGGGTGTACAGCGGAGTCCGGGTTACCGTGGTATAGAACGGACTCTATGGATCATCCCGCGAAACCATGTTTTTCTTCTTTCAAGCCCGTAGGTTGAAATATTGATCGGAGTAACTCGGTTACATTTCGGTAATCTTGTTGCGATGCGGTTAGAGTGTCCTCCCTTCCCGCTTCAACTCCGTATTCTTCACGTATCGATTTTCATTCAGCACTCTTGTGCATCCCTTCTCTCTCGTATACCCCCCCTCCCGTTTACCCCCCCGCCCGTTTGGCAAAACACGCCAGGCTCGTCGGGAGAGCCCCCACGTGAAGCGTGCACTAGCACTTATCCGAGACCATGGCGACATTATTCGACTGAAGAAAAAGAGCACTCCCGAAGGCAAGATCGGAAGCTTCAAGAATTCATGGACACACGTTCGGTTCGGGAGCCCTCATATCCATGGATGACGGCAATCTGTAGACCATTGACCCCAGCTTCCATACACGGCCGGGTTGGAACACGTCGGGATAACTCCACCAAACGGCGTTGGCCGGGTTTTGCTTGTTTCAGGCGAAAAGGTAGCATAGAGGCACGTGCGTGTACATCATTATTCCGTGGGTAGGCTGTCTCTCGTGATCGCATGGAACGTTTCCTCCGGCAAAGGAAGCTTAATGACTTCGAAAGAGCTCTATCGGTCGTTAGTGATCAACCAAACTGATCTCACCCGTTGAATCACACACGGCGGAAACAGAAAATACTGTCATTATCGGCAGAGCTTACGATGGACGCGGATGTCTCGTAAAAATCTACCACAACGACGCGCGAACGGCGAGACAAATTGTACAAGGGTTGACGATTGGGCCCTACCGAAGCACCTGGTGTTAGGCTTCACCCACGTGCCGCAATTACTCCTTTCGGTGGGCACTACAAGACCAACCCGTCCAACGATGTGTGTCGGCACCTAATCCTCTCCGCGAGACTTACAGCCACCTGCTCTTGCCTCACCTACCTCTGTCTAGCAGACATCCATCGAGACAAGCTAGTGCAGGGGCGACCAAGATCGAAGCGTCGGCCACGAGGAGAGACCCCTCTGCTCGGTGTGCAGCTTAATGACGAGATTGCGCTTGGGGCTGAAATCTCAATGCTGCGGGTACGATTTGGATCGAAGTTTGCGCTATTCAGGACTAGGCCGACCGTGCGGTAGCATCACTTTTCGTTTTGACATCCGCCGCGGGCAACGGACCTTAGAACTTCTTCCGCAACGTACGGGACATTTCGAGTTTGATATGGCGCTCAAGCCACGAAGGGTGAACACGTTTGGACAAAAAACCAGACTCCAACCCAGGCTTTGGTCCCCCCCCCCCCCCCCCCGACGTTTTCGCCGCCCAACGTGTCCAGGGATCAGGCGAGGAAGATGAAGAAGGAAACCGTATTCTTCCAGAAATAGACGACAGGTTTCTCACAGTGGGGCAACGACTCCGGCGCCTGCGTGACGCCAGGGATAATCTTCAACGCGAGAAGCACAGGGCGCATATGAAGTACAGGTCCGATGCAACCGGCTTCCCGCGTGGTAATCACCTGTGTGGCCAGGAACGACCTACGACTAGACCAGTAGACTCATACACTGGCTACTTGTGGGTGTATGCGAGAGCTTTCTGAGTGATGTAGGGCCAGGAGGCCAAATTACGATATTATTCGCCGTCGTGATCGATGGCATCGCCCGCGACGGCGGGCTTGAACGGACGGTAAGCGAACAGCAGCACCAAAAGCAGCATGGAAACAGCGACAACAAGCTCGCTCACGGAACTCCAGACGCCACTGAACCGTCTTGTTTTTTTTCAGCATCGGATGGATGATTCATAGTTCGCCTTTTCCATCGACACGGTACGGATATTAGAAGGTACCGAGCGGGGACCGGTTTTGTAATGTGAAGACAACCACATTATTAACCACAGCGGTACCTCTCTAACCGAAGAGCTCTAAACCATTCATTGCCTTTGTAGTCGACAGGTGAAAAGAAATCTCCGAGAACGAAAACGTTTCGTTCTGGCGGAGAAACGGGCGGGAAGAATCGCCAAAACTCTGGACACCAAACAGCTCGTGGAGGCATTGAAAGAGAGGGGTTACGAGACCGAGGGATCAGAACAGTTGGACGAGCTTAGGCGTGTCTACGTTGAGGGCATTCAGCCAGAGATTCGCGTCCGCCTGAACGCTACTTCAAGGTGAGCGCAGAAACGGACCTGCGCCCTACTAACGGACATGCAGGGCGGGGAATTTCAGTGTGTGCTGTAACAAATCCGAAGAACAGCAGTTTCAAACGAGGTTGACTCCCTTGTGGGTCTGGGGCATTCGATACACTATTGTGTCGTATTCAACCACTGAACAGGGCTTGTGTACGAAAAGCTGTTAAAACAAACTCCATCATGGCAACGTGATTGTGCGTCTCTCAGTAAGGTACCCCCTGCAGGGTAGAGCGTAAGATGTGGACACAGTTGCACAGCTGCAATAATAGCGCTACCTAAAATATGGAGTTTGTCGACCTTTCCGTGTTTCACCTTATTGTGGACCAACACCCACGAAAACTCTCACGCCAGAACTCAGTCGGTGTACATCCGGGCAACCTCGAGCCGCGTTTGAGGTCCTTTGCACGCGGACAGGTCGCAGACTCCCCTGCCCCGCTCCCAACATGTGCCCTTTTGCGCCCGTTCTCCAGATGGACTAAGAGCAGAAACAAGCACCGAGAGAGAACGGACACCGTTGAAGTCGGCGAGATCGTTGCGAGGAGGCAACAAATCACGTCGTCGAAGCGGGTAACTCCATTATCTCCCTCGCCATTCACCAGGCTCAACATGCGACACGCCGCCACCGTGTGATTGTTGCGCATCATTGTGCGTGTTCGGCTTGTAGTGTAGTGGTACGAGTCAAGCTGTGGGGGTGTCGTGCCTAAAAGGCGTCCTTGCTTGCGTATGCATGGTACCAAGTGAATCGTTTCGTCAGTAGTTGACCGAAATGTCGATCTCTCCAACACCGCAGCCTAGAATGAGACACAAATAGAGCAGCACGGAACCTACAACCGATGGCGACTGATTGCACCCATCTCAAGGAGAACCACCGGAGGGGAAAACAATATTTCAAGTATAAAAACGATAGACAAGATGAGGAGGTGAAAACAGCGAGTCTTCGGCGAAAACGAGAACGAAACGTGTTCAAGTTCAAGTTCAAGTCCCATTCCCACAAGTCGAGATCGTTCGCACGCATACTTGGCCGAGATGGTCTACTCGGGTACCCACGTTTCAACAACCCACAGAACAAGAGGGTAATTTATTGTTGTCTTTCGAATTGCATTTATTATTATTTTCTACCGCCCGAGGGAAGAGAGAGATACCAAACTGGCAGAGAGCACGTTTCCCGCAGACACGTTTCTGCGGCCTTTCTATCGTGCCTCTGCCTCTCTCCCAATAAAGACTGTCTCTCTCTTCCCTCCAAACAGCAACTGAGGGTGCCCTCTTCTGCGGTGGAGGGAACCAATCTTACTGCACACAGTAGTCTCAGATGACCAAGTCCCTAAAATGGTACCCTACCATTTTCTTCGCCAACATCGAGGTCATCATGACACTACTCGTGCAGTGGGATTAGCTCCTGTTACTGCCTACCTACCGCACACAGTGCTTTCCCCCGATTGCCTCCCGACTCGCTATGTCGTACCGAACGGGACACCCTTGCGAGTCCTCTACTGTGGGCGGCTCCTACACATTCCTCTGACTTCATCTTCCCGCCCTTCGGGATACTCGTTCCAATGTGTTGCCCCCAACAGCCATATACAACAAATTCCCAAATCCTTAGCTAAATGGTGCAGCGCGCGTTAGTTTCTGGGATTCGCCCCTATTTCGTAACTATTTGCCTCGAAACTCCGCGGGCTTGGGCATACTTCAGAGCTTGCACTGCACAACCTTTAACTAAGACAGGATGTTAACGGCGCGTCATCGGGCAACGTTGCACAACATGACAACGACGCCACCACCAGAGCAACTGCTCCGCCGTCTGCTCTGTATCCCGATCATGGGTCGTTAACCTCATCCCGATTCTTGGATCGCCTGATGCGATGCACGAGGAGAACCCCGACCACTCCGGCGTGACGACGGCAGGAATAATCGGCACGCGGCGGTGATACGGGTGGCTTCCTACACACCGCCGCCGCATCGACCAGCTGCCCCGCTCCGCGATTGAGGACCCGATTAGGTCGCCCATCAGGTCTGAGTTCGCTTGTGCCTTAAATCTCGCTGCAGCCCTTGTTGCCATGCCGTCGGGCCGCCCTCATTCGGCCGTGTGTTTTAATTCACTCAGCTCTCGGCGACCCCTTCAATAACATCCTTTTGATTCCACCGCCGCCCCTGGGCCGCGGTCTGCGGTCCGCGGAGAAGACCGTGCACGGCACGGGCGCCTTGCTGCTCCCCGAGCGGGTGTAAGCCCTGGCTCCCATGAAGACGGTCGCGGCGTGGTCGCGGCGTGGGGCACCCGGCGGACATATCCGCCGTCATGGCTTCTGAAAGGAAACACCTGGCGTTGCCGGCCACGATCCCCACGCACCGGTCCGCCCGCGTCCTGCCGCCCTGCCCAGGCGTGACCTCGATTCAATCGCCATCTGCGAGTGTGCAAGCGCTCCCTTTCACAACAATCAACAGAGCAAAACGAAACCGAGTTCATGCGCTTCGTCCACGCGAATAGCGGAAAAATTGGCATTTAAATATTTCGTGCGTACATCGCACGAATGCCGACTGTCTAAATGTGGGTAGTGCTGTTGAAATAAGCCCCCCCAAACCAGGCCACCAAAACACGATTGATGTGTTTCGCCCCGGCACATACCGATTGCACATCATCTGCACGATATACATGACCAACCGCGTAACCGCACAAACTCGGCGGCCGCAGGAACGGCACTACTGTATGAAACAGGCGGCCCTACCACAGAACCAACAACGAATGTAGGCTGTTTTGTCCTGGCGGATACTGACAAATCCACACCATGTTCATGATTCTACTGGACAGTGAGAATCGCTCGAATGCGACAACCGCGGGAAGCACTGTTGTTGCTAGGAACACGCCCACACCCACGGCCGCCATTCACGACTCATGTGTTTGGTTGTCGGCATAATATATCCGCGTGAATCGCCCACTGCGAAAACCCTGTCCCTGTCAGCACTGTTCGAAACCAAGCCTACAAATCATGGTCGCCAATCACAAATTCATGTGATTCGCAGTGGCAATGTTGAAAACATATTGTGATTGCCATGATTGCCGGATGTTTTGCGAATGTGCTGGCCGCATTAGACAGCGTTTTGCAACCGGAGCTCCATCACCACTCGCAGAAATCACCATGATATGACTGGGACACGTTAGATTGGGCGGTCTAAGCAGATACTGGCAACCAAGTTCTGATCGACATGTCTGCAGGAATCACACGAATGCGACGGCCTCGGTAGGCAACATCGTTGCAACAACTACCGCACCACCGCCAGCCACGATTGATGTGTCTTGTTCCGGTAGACACTGACCGAGCACAATATGAATGGATGGTACGACTGCGTGAATCGTCAAAGCGCGACCATCGCAGTTGGCATCGCTTCGAAAACCTAACGCTCCCACCCCATCTGCAAAACATTGTAGACGTGTTTAGTTCCGTCGCCTACTTAGATTTTATTCCTCGTGATGCATTCATGGCTGCGTGAACCGTGCAAAGCGACATCTGTGATATGCCGCAAGCTTCATGACCGCCAAGCACAAGTGATATTTGGTCCCCGCAAAAGAATGGGCTGCGTAGACCGCACGATGCGACACTCTGGTATGTACTGCTGCGAAAACAACAAGCCTACCAACCACGGTCGCCAATCACGATCCCGGCAGAAATATATCTGCTTGAGTCGCCCACTGCGGAACCCCTGCTAGTTAGCACTGGTCAATACGAAGCACCGACCTGGACCGTCAAACACGATTGATGCGTCCGGTGCCGGAATACACAAGTCTGCGTCAATCTGCGACAATTCTCGTACGTAGCACTGTTCCGGTCAAGCTCACCGACCACGGCCCCTAGACACGAGTCATGTGTTTGGTCCCGGCATAAACTGATCTGCGTGAATCGACCAATGCGACGACCCTGGTAGATATCCATGTTCAGAAGCAAGAAGCTACCAACCACGGTCGCCAAACACGACTTATTATGTGCTTGGTTCCGGCATGAACAAATGTGTCTGAATCGCCCGATGCGACAATCCTGACAAGTAGCACTGTTCCAAAATGAAGTTCACCAGCCACCGCCGCCAAATACGATTGGTGTGTTTGGTCCCGGCATACACAAACCGGCGAGAATCGCCCCATGCGGCAACCCTGGCAAAATCTCCCCATGCCACAACCTTGGTAGGAAACACTGTACAAAGTGAAGCTCACCAGCTACGGCCGCCAAACACGATTGATGTTTTTGGTTCCGGCATAAACTGATCTGAAGAACCGCCTCATGCGACAACCCTGGTAGGTTGCTACAATGGACCACGAGTGACAACATCAAATATCGACATCCCTTGTCGGGGACCATAGATTTTGAGAGGTTTGTCCCGATATCCATTGTCCAAAACAGTGGATTTTGAAAGTTCCTTTCGACCTCCCTTGTCAAGGACAACAAAATATTCAAAAGGTTCTGTCGATATCTGTTGTCAACCGTAACAGATTTCGATGGTGCCTATTGATATGAATTGTGCATAGCAACAGACGTTCAACGGTTTTCTCGGAAGCCATTGCCACTGGGTTCATGACATGTCATCGATATACATCGTTTACTGCAGTAGATTTTTGAGCGGGCTACCGATATATATCGAAACGCAACATCGATAGTCGTTATCTCGAGCAATCTGTCCTCAAGGTCGTAAAGGATATCCACTTGCACGAGAACATGTTCGAAGGCTTCTTCTAATACTGCCCGCAATGTCTATCGGAAGGAAGCCTTCGAAGTCTGTTGTTGCCAACGATGTCTATCGTGACATTCGACAGGCATTTCAATTTGCAATAGATTGCTCAGGTCATCTGTCAATAGGCTCGGTCTTTGGCAATAGTGCGAGAAATCCAGCGACCGATCACCCTTACCGACGGCAATACACTCGTCTATGTAGCAGCAGAAATAGAAGCCTACCTGGTACACGGTCTATTTCGTGGTGTGGTAGGTAGCAGAAGCTCACCAACCACGGCCGTCACACACGATCGGTACCAGCATAAAAAATAAAAAAATCTGCGTGAATCGCCCCATGCGACAACCCTGGCAGGTGGCACTGTTCAAAACGAAGCTCACCAGCCACGGCCGCCAAACACGATTGATGTGTTTGGTCCCGGCATAACCTAATCTGCGTGAATTGCTCCATGCGACAACCGGGGTTAAGTAGCGGTCAAACGTAAAGCTCACCACCACGGCCGCCAAACACGATTGATGTACAGAATGGTAACATATGCGACTCCTCCTCTCGACCGAGGGGGCCCCGCAGTACGCAATGCGTTCCGGGTACCCCAATATAAACAGTATTGCAATTCGAGTTGTTTCAATAAACCTCGGTTTGTTTTGTCTACGCCTTTGTCTACGCCTTAAACAAACCTGCCCTTTTTTGTTGATGGCTTAGGCTCTGCTCAGTTCCTTCGAAAATCGTGGGTGAGTAGGTACGTTCAAGAAACAAAGGGAGCTGCGACAGAATAAGCACCATATCGTTCTCACCAAATCCCTAGCCGTTGTCTCGTGGCGGTGTACTACCTGGAAATAGTGAGCATTGCAGCATGCGTTCCTTTACCTTCACTATATATTCCGTTCGTGACCCCATCTTACCGACACACAAAAAACCAGTTCAAATTGGGAAGCAGCCGTGGGTCACCCCGGCAAATCTATATCAATACAATATCCTCGGGCGGGGGAAAGATCACGACACCGTTGATGCCCGCATGCGCCATTCCCACCAGCAAAGAAAAACACGACTATTCTGGGAAATTCCATGCCAAGTTCTCGCTGACCAACCTCGCCCCCGCCGTACTCAAATGCATCAAGGAACGCGTGTGTCCGGTACGCATGCAATTCGGACTATCTTTACCTTGACCAAAAAAACAAAAGAATATCCACACATTGGGGAAGACGGGGTGAAATGGAAACAAGGAGGTTCGTAGCGATAAATTTTCGTTCAAGGTAGACATATGGCGGGTATTCTGCCAACTGCATCACATTCAGCCCGGCACTGATATATCTCGCTTCACGTTCTGCTATCTCCCTCCTGCTCTCCTCCGCTGCGTGCGTTTCTTCAAAGTGGATCTTTCGGCGAAATCTGAAACAAAAGCAAAATGCCAACCATTATTAGACAGACGACAACTCACGTTACTACGCAAAGGAAAGCTATTGACAAGAAGAGGGGTTTTATGAATGCCCCACCCCAAGCCACTATCTACGTGAGAAGTAGCTCCGCCACAGACAGTCACAATGTACAAAGTAGCGAGGTGCAACCCTCGATTCCTCTCCAACAAATCACTAAATACAACTGCACGCTGCCTATTATCTGCCTCTTGCGTACACAAGATTATTGATTGCCATGTTGGGCCACCGCCACACTATCATGAGCATCCTCGATGGCTAAGGAGCGTCTAAACACCTCCTCCGCCTCCTCTAGCCGACCTGCCTGCTCAAGGCACACACCTAGGCTGTACAGGGTGTTAGACACCACCTTCGTATCCTGTTGGCCTAGCTTGGCCTCCTCAATTGTGAGACAGCGTCTTAGCAGCTTCTCTGCTTCCGCCAGTCGTCCTGCCTGTCGAACCCATACACCTAGTTCGTACAGCGCGTTGGACACCCTTAAATCCTGTCGACCCAGCGCTGCTTCCATGATATCCAGACATCGTATCAGCAACCCCTCTGCTTCCTGTAGTCGCCCTGCCCCCCGAAGGCATGCCGCCAGCTCGTGGAGTGTATACGCCACGTGCACATGATCGGGGCCTAGCTTCTCTTCCTTGATCTCCACACAGCACCTCAGGACCTCCTCCCCCTCCCCGAGCCGACCTGCTGCGCGGAGGCACGTCCCCAGGTTGTAGAGCGTTCTGGCCACCCCAACATCCTCTCGGCTTAGCTGGGCCTCCTCGGTGGCCAGACAGCGTCTTAATTTCTGCTCCGCGTGACCCAGCCGGTCGGCTTCTCGAGGGCAAGGGACGAGGGTGTACGGTGTGCACGGGGGCTCCTCACTGTCGTGGCCTAGTTTCCCTTTCACAATATCCAGGCAACGCCTCAGCACCTTGTCGGCCTCGTCAAGCCGTCCGGCCTCCAATCGAACGCACACGCCCAGCTCATACAGCGTGCGGGCCACCTCGAAATCGCTTCGGCCCAACTTCGCCTCCTTGATCGTCAGGCCACGCCTCAATATCGCCTCCGCGCCCGCTAGCTGATCTGCCATACGAAGGCACATGCCCAGACTATGGAGCGTTGTAGCCACACGCACATCCTCTCTGCCCAGCCTGGCTTCCTTGATCGCTAAGCTGCGCCTCAGCAGCTCTTCTGCTTCTTCCAGTCGCCCTGCCTCTCGAAGGCATATTCCCAGCTGGTAAAGCGTGTCGGCCACCGCGATGTCTTCTTGGCCTAGCGCAGCCTCCTGTATTTCCAGAGACCGTCTCAGTAACACTTCTGCTTGCGCTCTATCACCCGGCTTGAACTTCAGCATGGTAGAAGCGACAGATGCTAGACCATTCGCACCGTCGAGCCCATCAGCTTGTGATTGCACCCTGGCAAGAGCCAGTGGCAATGCTTCGACCTCTTTGCCGCGCCAGTCCGCCGCCTCTCCAACGTGTCCCAGCTGCTCTGCGCAACTAGCTAGGCTTCGGTAAGATTTCAAGACGTAGTAGTGGTCCGCCCCCAGCTGCTTCTTCTCGATTTCGAGCAGTCGACGCCAGGTAGTGCTTGCTCCCTCCCAGTCTTCGTGCGCCTCTTGAAGCCGCGCCAGGGCAATGATGTTCTGACGGCCAAGCGCGGAGTCTAATTGGTCCATCCCAACTAGCGCCGCGGAGTACGCGCGGCTTTTACGCCACCCATCTCCGCCGACTCCCTCTACCGCCAGCCACAGACCTTTCAGGACGTAGGGGTCACTAGACCTGAGGGCTTCCAGACACGATATGGATGACACCCATCTCGTCACGGCAGGCCGCCGAACATAACCATGGTCCATCAGTGTTTCCCTTGCAAAGATCGAGTGTGCGTCGTGCATGCGATAGGCCCCTTCCGCCGAGCGGAGTACGGTCCAGCGCTCCAGAGTGTCAACAACCCCTGCCACTGATGCCTCGTCCTCAGCGCTAGGATTCCTGTCGTAAAGCAAGACCGCGGCATCCCTTACGGTGAAAGCATGACCGTCCGGAAAAACGGCAAGTGACAGGTACAACCGCTGCACTCGCTCATCGTCGGACCCAATGGCAAGATCTTCGAACCCGGCGCTGAGAATGGCCTTCCGCCGTGCATCGCGAGTTTCTGCCAACTTATCGCTAGCAGCGCCACTCCCGACCTTGCCCATCTCTTCTCGGACCTTGCTAGCCGCATCTGACCAAGCCGTGCGATCCTGCCTACCTCGAACGGTGCTCCATCGCCCGACGAACGCCAGGTCCATCGCCACACGGCCGCACAGCTCGATCAGATCAACGGCATCGCTGGGCATTTTCCCCTGAGGGGGTAGCTCCGCAGCTCTCCTCAACACCGACATGGCATCTGCCTCGGAAAGCTCGTCAACCCCCACAACCTCGCCATGTGCTTCCGTCACCAGCGCTTTATTTCGTGTTGACAGGAGCACCCACATCCCCGTCTCCAACAGCTTCGAAATCACCTCTTTCTCCCACACGTTGTCCGCCACTACGAGGCACTTCAATTTTTTCCCCCCAGTCCCTTTCTTCATCCGCTGCCTGATGTAGGCCGCACAGTCATCCGACGACGTTGGGCGACGTCCCACGCTGCACCCGATGTCTTCGTAGACCACGCGGGCCAGCTGCAACATGAGGGACGAAAGGCGTTCCTTTGCACCGTCGTTGACCGACAGCCAGACGATACCGTCGGAGAATGCCTCTTGCACCTCAGTACTCCTGACAGTTTCGGAGGCTGCCGTGGTCTTACCCGACCCGCTGTCGCCGACAAGTCCCACCAAACGCGGCCCTCCATCGCTAGCGAGCCCCTCGAAGACTGCGTCCATCACGTAGCGGCGCTTAACGTGCCAGCTCTTGCGTGCCGGCGTGCCCTTTGGAACATTGGCGAGCTTGGCCGGAGTCTTCGATGGCTGGCCAATATGCTCAAGTATCTTGCCTTGGTTTTCCAGTAATTGTTCTTGACTTGCTGCTTGCTTGTTCGCCATTTTCTCCTGAAATATCAATATTGCGGAAGCGGTGTAGGTACACCAAATACCACGTTCGCCGCCAGATAAGGTGCTCTGACTTCGGTCCGTCCGGGGTGCTTACTGAACATGTGTTGGTGGAGCAAGCAAGGACTCAGCCACACTCCTGGAAAGTCGCAAAGGAAGCATCATTACCTACAGCTGCTTGGGCAGAAGCTACAGCCGGAATATCCCGCACAGCGTGCGGCGTTGGATGTATTGAGCTGCTTTGTTCGAGAAATGCTACCCGTTCAAGATATAATCACAGTCGAAGGGGATGCGTTGAATTCTTTACAGTGAGTGGAGAAAATCCGGCCGAATACTGCACACTGGGATTATTTTGTTCCGCACACACAGGCGAACCAGCATCTTCGAGGACGGTGGGGCACACGATCAAGAGTTTTTCACCGGTAGAAAAATGCTCTTCTAGGTGCAACTGAGTTCTCACCACGATGGTCTTCAAGTCGTCGATCTTTCTACCCACGACTGTGATACCGGCCAGGCCCATGTCGCTTTCCAGAGCTCGAATGCGCGCGTTCAGTGCAGCGATCTCGCCTCTATCGCTGGAGGCCTTTACCACCCTGAGCAACTTGCCCCGCCGACCACAGTGCTCGACAAGCGCCCCAGCTGCGCGGATGCAGTCCTCAAGAGGTGCAACGTCGAACTCTGAGAACCCCTTCCTGAACTTCACGATAACACAAGCTGTGATGTACGCGCATCTTTCGCCCAGAGCTGCCAGATCCTCGCGATTGCTTATCACCGTCTTGACTTTCTCTCGGATTGCCGTGAGCGTCTTCAGAACAGGCTGGAACAGCGGAAGCCCCTCGCCCAATTCAGCCACAAACGAAACCGCATCCACCGCAGCCGAGCTAACCTCCCGAGCGCATTTTGCAGCCATCGTCGATGGGTCGATGGGCCTACCGTATGTAGCGGATGATGTGGCGACCACGGGCGGAGACATGTGTTCAGATCGGGTGGGAAGTCCAAAAAATTGTGCTCTACAGCAGTCAAACCGGCGTATGCATATGTATTGCTACACAAGTAAGTTCACGTGGAAAGAATGGGAAAGTGATGGGATGCTCCTTCGCTCCTCTCGCTAGACTTCGAGTATTGAGTACCCTCGGTAGATGGTCCGCGAGGGAGGCTCCGGTCCGCTCTCAAACACGACGCTGGCCTACTTTCGTGGTTGTTGTGGCGACCACGTCGGCGACATGTGTGCAGATCGGCAAGTCTAACAATTGCGCTGTGAAGACAACAACAACAACAACAACAACAACAACAGCAGCAGCAGTCAAACAACCGCGTGTGTATATTGCTAGAAAATTCACGTGGAAAGAATAGGAAAGTGATGGGATGTTCCTGCGCTCCTCTCGCTAGACTTGGAGTACCCTCAGTAGATCACCGCGGTCCGCGAGGGAGGTTCCGGTCCGCTCTCAAACGCACGACGGTGACCTCGGCGCGGTCTCTCGGTATTGCTGATTGCACCGCATCGTAGTTTTCAATTTTCAATAACTTTCCTGCTTGTAAGGAGATGTGCGTGTGCTCTTCGCGTAGGTTTCCTACCCTCACCTTTTTGGCCGCGAAGCAATCCACAGACAACGCAATGCACAGGAAGAGAAGGGGTGGAGAGTGGTGTGGGCAATGCCTCGGCCATGATGAGACCGTGAGGACCCGAGAACCGATCCTGGAACGTTCGGCAACGATGGGACCGTTCGGCAAGATCATACTTCGTACTTTTTCTTTTTTTTTTTTCCGTCTTTGAATGGAGGTGGAGGCTCTGCCCTCAAGGTTGCACCGAGGGTACTCAAGCGCTCGAAGCCATCGCGCATCCGGCGGATTGACTGTCCCCTACGAGTGTTTCAACTTCTGATCCCTTCGGTCTTCGAGCACGATAGCATTCACATGAGTCGCACAACATGCCCTAAAAAGATCGTGACAACTCTCTCTTGGTTGCGCACGAGAAAGATCGGCAGCCGGTTACAGCGCGGTCAATGGTGCGGTGACAGACAGACAGTCACAGACAGGCAGGCAGGCAGGCAGAGGAAGAAGGGTGTAGAGCATACACGAGGCCCCTGACACGCAACACGTCTTGTAGCATATGTTGCAAGATGAGTACCAGACGACACGGTACGTAAGAACGTTGTTGGCGCACGGCAGTTGGCACTGGTTCTGCTCGTGCTTTTGTGTGCTTATTGGAAGTGAGAGTTAGTGTAGTGTCCAAAGGCCGCGGGTTTTCGTTCAAAACGTTTCAATGTGCCTCATGTATTGGCTGCTACGTTGCATGCTTGATCATATACAATGTACGCATAGTCTACACCGCAGTCCGGCCCGCCCATAAGATGCGCATTATTGTCAATGCGAAAGCTCGAAGCCTCTCCCTTGTTTGTCAGTGTCTCGACGATACTGCTGGAAAGGACAGGTAAATGCGAAGCTACCATTTTGAGTGTGGTGCCGGAGACTGAGCCCAATGGTAACACTCCATTTATTCGTTTCATGCATTTTTCCAAAAATACGAACCAAGTCACCTCGTACAAAAAAATGTTACCAGTTACATAGTTTGCGCGAGTGCAGGCACTTGTTGCGGCGGCATGCGTCGAGGGGGTCCTCTCGAAAGGGTAATGTTTTCAACGCTCGCTGTCGAGACCGTGGTTTACCTGAAGTCAGGTTTCCTTTCGCGATCGACTCTCTCGGTTTGTTGTGCCGGTAAAAATTTAACACTGGCGGGGGGGGGGGCATCGATTCGAAACGGGGCTTACTTCCCCAGCCAACACCAAGTCAGGTTTTGTGGGCCTGGCCGTACGAGCTGGGCATCGAAAGGAAAGAGGAGGGCGGGGGGAAGAAGAAGGGTTTCACTGATACTACTTGCTGCACTCGGACGTCAATGGATATCATATCTGTGAAATACAGGTTTTGCCCTTTGTTCTATTGATGGCGTCAAATAGACAAGACCTTTGAGTGCTGCAAGGCCTGGTACTACTGTGGAATTCTCGTGGTATGTACACGCGCAAAGTGTTCGTACAATAACGAGTGCGTACGGGCCCATTGGGAAAGATGATCAGCTCTTGCAAGCTTTCTCGGCTAGGTTACGTCCGGATATTTGGGGGTGAAAGCTGGGTAGCAACGTCGCCACGACGTCCCTGGAGCGTCGACTTCGAGTGACTACCCCCCCTCGGAAAACCGAAAAAAAGGTGACTACTGTAGCAGCAGCTTGACAAAACGCATGCCTTTAAAAAGAGAAATACGAAGAAAACTAAGGGCGAAACTTGCGTCTTCAAAATGTGAGAGACTGCTGAGAAACAAACAACGCGATACATGTTGAACAGAGGCGATTCTTTCAATTATTGCACAGTACGGACAGGTACAATAGGTGGTCCTGTACCGTGACAGTCAACGTGTACTAACTCTCTCAAAGTGGCTCGCCAAATCTCCTCCAACTGGAGGCAATCTGTGTCTGTAAAACTCTGCGCCTTCCCGCAGCGTGGGGTGGAGTATAGGGCCTACGTTAACCCAAGACCGAACGGTAATGACAAACTCTCTCTTGCTCAACATGATCCTTCTCCAACACGCAAGTACAGACAGTGCACTTTGACCCCCAACTGCATACGCCCCCCCACACACAAATAATCTCAAGATCGAATATCGTACCCTAGTACAACGAACAATGTGATGCATATGTACAGAACCCAGACGGGCATCAAGAAGCCACCCAGTCGCTTGTTATTAGGGGAATTATATTTCGTGCAACCGTGCTACGGATACTGTAGAAAGACGAGCAGGCGCTCGCCAACACAACGATGCTGAAATCCTGTGCTTGCTGCACGGCTCGATGGCTACATCTGGTGGCTTTAATGAGTCGTAGCCTGACGAACGCAGAACCTTAGCTCGTTTAACGCGGAGGATACTCTTTCATCCTCTGGACCAAACTTGGCCTCTAATGTTGTCAGCGACCGCCTCATCAACCCCTCTGCCTCCTCCAGCCGCCCTGCCTCTCGAAGGCATAGGCCAAGCTGAATCAACGTGTTGGCTACCTCCACATCGTCTGGTCCCAGCTTGGCCTCCTGGATTCCCAAGCAGCGCGTCAACAGCTCCTCCGACTCATCTAGCCGCCCGGCCTGTCGGGCGCATTTTCCCAAGTAGTGTTGCGTGTAGGCTAGCCACACGTCGTCTCGGTCTAACTTGGCCTCCTGGATCTCTAGAGAGCGCCGGAACAGCCCCTCTGCTTCGTCCAGTCGCCCCGCCAGATGAACGCTTACCCCCAGGTGGTGCAGGTTGTAGGCGACGTACACGTCGTCGCGGCCCAGCTTGGCCTCCTGGATCTCCAGGGAGCGCCTCATAAGCGCTTCTGCGTTCGCTCTATCATCAGGCGCCAAGTCCAGCATGGTCGAAGCGATGGAATTGAGGGCGTTGGCATCATCGACCCCGTCTACCTCACCGGCATCAAGCCGCAGTTGCATCCTCGCCACCACTAACGGAAGCACCCTGCGCAGCTCTGCCTGCCATTTCGTCATTTCCTCGGCATTTCCCAGCCGCTCGGCGCAATATACCAGCGCTCGCAAAGTCAGGATGGTATGGGGGTGATCAGCCCCCAACTGCCTCCTTTTAACCACTAGGATTCGGCGGCAGGTGGCGCTCGCTGACTGCCAATCTCCCTGTGCATCTTGGAACCATCCCAAACTCTGCAAGGACTTAAGGAGCAAAGGATTTGACTCGTCCATCTCGGTCAGCGCGGCCGCGTAGGGCCGGACGTTTCTCCAACACTCTCCACCTAAGCGCCCCACAGCTAGCCATAGACCTTTGAGTACGAACGGGTCGTCAAACGACCGGAGGACATCCAGGGAAGATATTCTTAGAGTCCATCTCTTCACGGCAGGCTTTCGCACGTAGCCGCGGTCCATGACACTATCTCTGGCGAACCCGGCGTGGGCATCGTGCATACGGTATGCCCCTCCTTCCGCGCGCAGCGCAGACCAGCGTTCCAGGGTCCTGATCAGCTCTTCTGTCGATACCTCGTCTTCCGGACAAGGCACTCGGTCGTAAAGCAGGGCCGTGGCATCCTTCGCCGTGAAGGCATGTCCATTCGGCAACACGGCGAGCGAAAGATATAGTCGAGGAATTCGCTCGTCGTCCGATCCGATGGCAAGATCCTCAAACCCGGCCTGGAGAACGGCCTTCCGCCGTACTGCACGGACATCCCACACGTTGTCGCTAACCCGTGATCGCTCTATTTTTGATCGAACCTTGTCAGCGGCATCCGACCAAGCGGTCCTGTCTGACCTGCCCCGAACCGTGCTCCATCGCCCCACAAACGCCACGTCCATCGCAACCCGCCCGCACAGCTCAACCAGCTCCACGGCATCGTCGGGCAAGCGCAGCTCAGGTGAGAGCTCTGACGCTCTCCTCAGCACCGACATCGCATCTTCCTCGGACAGTTCATCAACTCCGACCACGACCCCTCCCTCTGCGCTTCTCACCAGCGCTTCATCGCGGGTCGACAGGAGAACCGACATACCAGTCTCCAGCAGCTTTGAGGTTACCGCTTCCTCCCATACGTTGTCCGCTACCACGAGGCACTTCAGCCCTTTCCCGCCGTGCCCACTCTGCATCCGCTGCCTGATGTATGCCGCACCATCGTCCAATCCCGCTGGGCGACGGCCCACGCTGCCCCCGATGTCCTCGTACACCATGCGGGCCAGATGGATCATCAACGCCCGGAGGCGCTCGGTTGCACCGTCGTTCACCGACAGCCACACAATGCCGTCGGAGAAAGCCTCCCGCACCTCGGTACTCCTGACGATCTCGGCAGCAGCCGTGGTCTTGCCCGACCCGCTTTCGCCCACTAGCCCCACCAAACGCGGTCCCCCTTCGCCGTGGAGTGCGTCACACACCGCTCTCATCACATGACGGCGCTCAACGTGCCAGCTCTTGCGTGCCGGTGTGCCCGCGGGAACCGTGGCCAGTGTCTTCGGAGAGATGCCCACACGGGCGAACATGATGTCGTGATTCGCCAGTATTTGACTATGTGATAACGCCTGTTTGTTGCCCACGTGCTCCTGGATTGCAGCCACACAGTGACGAGAACAGCCAGCAGCAACACCACCGTGAGGAACAAGGAAGCAAGGAAGTTCGACAACACCCAAGGGCAGGCGTTGTTTCGGAACACACGCGATGCACCGTTTTCATGATGAGAAAGAGAAAGTATGCAGATGAGAAGCGGACCCTGGAATAGGGAATCAGCAACACAGGGTGCTTCGGCCGCAAACAGAGTTGTGTCTATCATTCGCAAGTACGGTAGGGATGGCTCCCGTTTTGGAGCGTCGAGCCAGGCGAACAAGTGTTTGCATTTACGTTGTCATACATGACCGTAACTTGGCTTCTGTTGTGCCAAGTTGTGCGCGCCGACGTACAGCAGATGTAAACGATGCTCAAAGATGTAGTTTCCTTCTATTGACTGAGGTAATATCTCTGACTTTGAGAACGAACAGTTACGAATAGTTTCCTCCGCGTGTGCTCAATTCGGCACAACCGACCCTTACTCCGTTTCAGGATGTGTATCGAAGGTATGGGTTCAGAGGAGGTTCAGCGGTGCGTACTCGAATTGCCGTCGGTTCGCATTTTGAACTGAATCCGCAGTGCTTTGCTGATAATCCCTAATATGGCAGTGGTACAAGTCCAAGCTATTCTGTGCGCCAGCCTACCGCTTGCACTGTATGCTTGACGCGTCAGCCGGGGTCACACAGGAGAATGTAACCTAAGTTTTTTCCCCATCTTCTCCACCATGTTCTCTTGCGCGGCTTGCCTTCAACAAGGGTTCGCAGTGCCTGCCCTCGCTGTTCTGCGTATTCATAGCTCCATGCTCTTTTTCCTTTCGTATTGCCGTTTGTGTTCATTCAGTACATAGACCATTTCACAAGCTCACGAATAGTGTACGCCACCACACACTTAGGAATGTGCGACTTAAGAAACACAGGCTCAAAGATCCAAGAAGAGTACCATGCTTTTTGCAGCCCTCCACGACCTCCGAGATTTCGACCGTGACTTGGTGGGGAGTCTATTGCATGGCGATTAGTTCACATGGTTGGAACAGGCATCATTTCAAGCAGTTCATGGTGTTGTGAAGAAAACCACTCTCCATCAATACTCACCAACAACGTTTTCAAGTCCTCGACCTTGCCCCCAACAGTGGCAATGCCCGCCAGCCTTAAGTCGCCCTCCAGATCTTCTAGGCGCTGTTTTAATCCCGCGATTTCGTCCTTGTCGTCCGTGGCCTTCAATACCCTTGAAACCAATCCTCGCCGACTACAACGGTCGACAAGCACCCCAACCGCGTTCACACATTCCATGAGAGGCGTCGCGTTCAGTCCGGAGGAGCCCCTCCTGCACCTCACGATGACGCACCCCGTGATGTACGTGCATCTTTGGTGTAGCGCTGCCAGTTCTTCGCGGTTATTTTTCAACGTCGCCACCTTCTCGCGCACGGTCTTGAGCGTCTTTAAAACCGGCTCAATAAATGGCAGTCCATCGCTTGCTTCCGTCAAAAACGCCAGTACGTCCGACGCCACGGTCCCCGTATTTCCCGACATGGTCTTCCTAGACCTTCCCTGTCAATCACGAACGGAGTGTTATAAGGCGGAGCTCTGAGCTACCACAGAGTGGTGCATAGCAGAGCGGTGATGCAGCGGACCCACCCGACGGCAGGCCTTCTTTCTATGATGCACGTGCATGGTACAGCGGCAACGTATTGGCATGACCCGTGCTGCATTCGAGGATTGAGGGTTGCACAGGAGTAGACTATGTGCACTGCTGTAATCCACATCATGCGAACGACCCAGCAGCAGTGTTCAATCCACCGTAAAGAAAACTACGCGCCTACCGTACAGGTGTCCCATAAGACCTTTTAGATTGAGGGTTGCACAGGCGTATGTGCACTGCTGCAATCCACATCATGCGAACGACCCAGCAGTGTTCAATCAAAACCCAAATTATTTCAACGCGTCTACCGTAGATACCACACCACCCTGACCCTGGACCGTATTTCAAACCCCGGTATCTCTGCAGCAAACAAAAATTGACGGTGCCGAACATGGCGGCGTTGGGAATTTCTCGATGAGAGTTGTCCGAACGCGCGTCAGCTTGGGGTTGGTATGGTATGCGACCTGCGCGGCTTCCTGCTTGCACACCTGTGACACAGCAATCTACCATGCAAAAAAGGCCCTCCGCCCTCTTTCGATTTTCGATCAAGACGTAAACATGTCGATCGACACTACAGTATGCCGGATACAACACATTTCATGCACAATAGCTTTCTCCATACCTTACCTGATTGGACGCGGAAAGCTTCACACGCCACCGACAGGTAGAGGTGGGAGAGGGTGGGTGCGGGCAAAGGAATGATGAGAGGTAGGGAACACAACACTGAGAACCGATCCTGGAACGCCTGGACCGTTCGGGATTCCGCCGCGCTGGTCTGGTGCGTGCTTCAACGGGCATCAAGGCATGTCAACACCCGCCCCCTCAACTCGTCAAAGCCCGAGAGAAAAAATCGTTGTTATGCAATTCGGTATGACAGGTGGACTCGATTGGTAATGGCTACAGGCCCGCGGTACTCCCTCTACGCATCCAGATGTGGCAGCATGCCTGATACCTCGGCAAATAAATACAGACCGCAGACCGCAGATTTGAAGACTTGAAGATTTGAACAGGATGCGGCGAAATGTTTCGATTCGACAAAAAAAAAATTACGCGCCCGTTTCGCTGCCTTCTTTGAAGTGCTGTTGTCGCATCATCAGAGACAAGGTTGCGGACCCCACTTTGGACTCACCCGCCTGAGTATGGTGCTAGGGCATTGTTTTCAGTGGAAGTGAGGGGTGAAAAGCGCAGCCTAGCTCGCAGTGCTGCCAGTCCCACGCTGCGGTGCATGCCGAGGGTGGGATTTAGCTTGGTGTCTGTACTGCATGCAGTGGTGTGTAGCACAGCGAGATCTCGAGGCCTGGCGTAATTTTTGCACGGAGGGAGGACTGGCCTCTCGCCTTTGGGAAACTGTACTGGTGCTGGACTTGAATTTTGTGCCACAGTTGTAGTTTGCGTAGGCCGCACCCCACCGTCTCTAGGTGAACAGATTCATCTCATTCACTGCAGCATGTGTATACATACGCTGCAGCGACCTGCACTTACTTACCGCCCGCAGTCCGCGTGCGCAGCCCGCGTGCGTCGAGCGGCAGCAGTTGTTCCAGACGTTGCTGCCTCGTGACTGCAGCAATCAGTCTTTTTTGGACTAGGCGCGTGCGTGCAACGTTGTTTGCCCCCATCAAAGAGCCTCATCAAGCGGAGAGAGACAGGAAACCCGAGAAAAACATGCGGGTAATATTTGCATTCTACACAGCCGGCTACAGAAGTTAGCCCGCGAATCTAAAACCAAGTGTAAGATTTGTATGGACGTTGAGATAACCTCCTTTATATGTACATCGGGTCATTTTTCTTGTGCGCTCAGTTCCTTGTTTTCAGTTGCTCTCTTCGCGTCTGACAGCAGCTACGTGGCGGCATCGTAGTGCTGGTTATTATGTAATGAATACCTCGATAGCATCAACGCCGGAGATCTACAGTAACTAGAAGTCTACGTAGACTATACAGTACTACTACCAGTTATTTGGCACTGATCTTAGTATTTAAACCTGTGCATATATATGTGGTTGCACAGGTGGCAGTCTGTACATGTACTATCTATGTGGTCGCACCCATGTGCCTCTCGTCCACATCAACAACGTGCCAAGCGGCTTCTGTTGTTCTTTCTCCGTGTTGAAACAGAAACAGGGACCAATGGAATTCAGAGGGAACATAATAATGTCAATGGGAAAATAATACTGCCTCGAATCTGAGCTGGCTGCCGTCCTAGGCCTCCGTCCATTTCTGGCTGGACCACGGTGTCGACGCTCTCACCCTTTCGCGCCGTTTTTGCTTCGCGGTAGAGCATGCCAGTGTGGTTTCTGGCTGAAGGTGTCCGTGCCACCAGTGGGGGTTTCCTCCGGTTCTTCCACAGAATTGCCGTCACGTCTCTTCCATCACGGTAGACGCGCATCAACGTTGTTGTTCCGGCAATTGTTGTTGCCCGTCAGAGTGGGTTCGTTCCATTCCCTAACTCCTCCGAATGCACCCGCCACACAAACGTGATGATTGGGTTATCTTACCCGCGTTCACGTATCGTAACCAACCGTGTGCTGAACACCTCCTCCGCAGGCAGGCCTGAAGTATCATGACTCCCCCGTCGAAGAGCAAGAAGAAAGCGAAGAACGCACGGGAAGCGTCGGCAGCGGCTCGAGAGCAAACCGCTCTTCGGGAAGAAGACGATAAGTTTGCCGCGGAGGAAGAGGCAAAGAACGCTCACCTGCAGAGAAATCTGATAAAAAACGATGGGGGCAGCGCTTTTCCAAGGACGTGGTGCGTGCGTTGCTCGAAACACCGCTCCGACCTTCGTCTGCGTTTTTTTTTATCTGTAATCATGTCCCACACAGCTGCCCTATGCCCACACGCTACAGAAAGAGAGTTTTCTTTGTATGAGGCTTTGGGCGTGTTGTTGATGTATCTCAATCGGTGAGTGTTGATGCATACGGTGGCGTTCTCGATGCTTCACGTCCCCCGTCACCGTACGTAGACGTTTTTTCATGGCAGCCATCTTTTTTCTCAGGCACGATACCTCCTGGGTGCAGCCCAACGACCCTATGGGTACCAGCTATGCAGTAGGTCCACTTCAATTCACGTTCCTTCCACAACCTTTGAATGTTCGTTGGGGCGCCGGCACACCATAAGGTGACAAGCGTTGTGTAAATTCAACCTGTTTTGTTTTCTCAGGTACGATGCACCCTGTTGGTCTACTGCCACGTGGCTGACATGCACGAGCACAAACCTTGGACCGTGACGGAGATGGAGAACATGCTTCGATTATCCAGGCCACCAGTGAGCAGGGTGGCTAAGACTGGAAGAAGAGCGGGGGAGATATTCGTGTTCGCTGTTGAACGACGGTTACACCTGAAACGGTTGGCTAAAAGCACGCCTTACAGGCGAACTGGAAACGGCATCAGTGTTCGACCCAGGCAGCCACCGCCGCCGCCTCGGACCGTTTTGCAGGGGGAGAAACGGTGTGCTTTTGCGTATTCCGGCCGACCCACTCCTGTAGACTTGTTTGAGGTCAAACACATGTTGCACTTGATGGCATTTTAGTCTCCGAGTCCGAAGCATAGACTTACGCTTACAACACATGTACAATACGTTGTGAGAGGGCAGGGCAGGTGTAACCTGTTCGTATAGTGTAGGCGCACATTCATCAAGGACGCATGAAGAGAGCCCGTGGGTGAGTATAATAGTGTGTTTCGTGTTGTCATGCCATTTATCCTGGCCATCATCCATGCTGGGCCAGTTATTCACTTCGGTCTGTTTGTTCGTACGCACCAGGCGAAGTCATATAGTGGCAAGCCGCCCATACGGTAATCGCTTTTCCTCCTCCACCATCCTTCCGCGCTGCTTGCCTTGAGATTTTTCGTGAGGAAGATCAAGTAGGTAATGTACTTCCTTTCTGTCGTCGACCGCGGTAGAATGTTGAGTACACAAAAAAGCATTCGCTCTCGACCCTTGGCTTGGGCACAAGGTGAAGAACAATCCCGGTTCGTGCGACTACGCTGAGGTTGAAACAATGATAATTTCGTAGAAGTTTCGATCTCGACATGTAGAGTAGGTGAATCAAGTGCTTTGAGGAGGCCCCTCCTCTACTGTACGTCGATTGTCTCAACACACCACTCGGCACCGATCATCTCTCGTTGGTGTATCCTGTACACGACGTTTTACAGACCCTTCCCCCCATAAGATTCGCGAAAAAGAACGTGTTGCTGCGATCTCAGTCCGCCACAGTTGATGCCCTGAATTCGTCAGATCGCGCCCAGAGACGAAGGGGGCCCAGCAGTGCTGCATTCTGGCGTGCCGTGCAACGTGTCTATTGCTGGGTTCTCTGGCATGTCCGTTTACGCCAAGCGTGGCTGAGAGCACGATGTTATTGATTGCGCCAAGAACAGCGAAGTGCAGAATACTGCACACGATAGTCCTCCAAATCGTCATTGTTGCTACCTTCAAATTAACAGCCGTTCCGATCTCTCCACCCAGTAACTTCATGTGTCCGTACTATTCGAACACTGGACATGCTTCATGTTTGCTCTGCACAATTTCTACGTTCCAACCACACAAACGTACAACCTCATCTGGCTGTTCGACACAACCGTCGCTGAGAGCGACACAATATCCAAAAGGAGTACAGACAACGGATAAATAATAACCTTTTGAATAGGGTCTCCGCCTCGTGCACACTCCATACTGAAACCTGAGTGGCGGAAGGTCCAAGGACATAAGAAAGGTGCCTTGACCCACAGCACAAAGTTCGAGTGACCGAAACGCGGATACACACGAAACACATCTTTCTGCCACTCTACACATCACATGTGCTTCTCCCTCACCAACCTGCAAGTGCCCGAAACAACGCTGTTCTTCAAGTGATACGATACGCTACATAGGGCAAACACGGGGAAAAGCTGACTCTGCACCGTGCCTGGGGCGTGGCTTGCCCTTGCAAGAGTCTCATCTTCAACTTGAGCTTCACCAGCAAGAGAAACTCACAGATGCACACACACACTTACTCCGATTGTGGTTGGAACGTTGATCGCTGACGAAGCGGATGTACGGGCTAGAGCCTCGAAGCTGGAAGGGTTGCGAATCAATCGACAGGGGTGACGACTCCTCCCTTGAAGTGCTAGTAGGAGATTTTCCATGTCACACGCCGTCCGTACAACTTGACATAGCACATGCCTTCCAGAATGAGCTTGTCTTCATCGGCGTAAGGGTCAGTGGGAGCTTCTCCACATGGTCACAGGTCGTCCTTACACCTTGACATAGCATGTGCCTTCCAGAATGAGCTCGTCTTCATCGGGGTCAATCGTTACCGTGCTGGGGTCGTCGGTCTGTTGGGGCGTACAAAAGTGAAGGATCACAAGGGAGAGTTTGCCTTAAGGCCGGCTGAGGGAACCGACGCGGAAATACCACGCCCCCACCAACTGAGGCAGCTCTACCATGACACAAGAGAAACCAACCCAGCAGCAGGTGTGTGTCGTGGTAGAGAGATATCCTTTTGTCCGAGAAGAAGTCTTGCGTAGAATCTTTCAAGATGAAAGCATGTACATAGTCTCAACATTACTCATTTTGCTGCAATATGGCTCGTGCAATGCGTGGCGGAAGGGCAGTGTAGCAGACACACACGCACCTGAATGATGCACGTTCCGGACGCGACACTGTAGGAGCCATCATTGGTGAACGATACGGCCGTGCTATCGCTGATCGTCATCACAGGATCTGAGCACCGCCACAAGGTGGGAGCGATAAAAGACAAATAGGTGCAGACCGGGCGTACGCGAGGTTTGATGCGGGGTCATAAACGAATGCAATAAAACCCTATCAACACCATCAGGGGATCTGAGGCAGTCGTCATTTCAAGGATACTGCACACTTCGGGATGAAGTCGACGTTGGTGACCAGTATCCATCCACTGAGTATCGTCTCATTCCATTCGAGGCTCTGGGAGGGACGCAAGCGACCTTTGTCCATTTGAGATTCCACAACTACTTTCGGTGGGAGAAGGTTTGCTAATGCAAAACTAGAGCCATCACCCAAACATGCGCATTCACCTCAGCACCCACAAAGGAAGAAGATCTCGCTCACCGTTGACTGACCGGACCCACATTTCTTGGAAATTTATTAGACTGGAGCCTTCGACGATGACCTCGATCGGCTGTTGTCCTTCAAGGCTGCCAACTTGGCCCTGGGATCCCACGTAGATGGGTGGCTTCGAAGGTAAAGTTGTTGGAGTCCACGATGTGCAGACCCGCCACCCCGTTGCCTTGTATCTGCACCGAATCAGTTAGCGGTCGACCCAAATCACGCGGAATACGAGGAAGATGGGGGGAGGGGGGCATTGCTCTTGTGGCCAAGCTACTGTAAGTCTGCTGCGGTGGTGGCACAGGAAAAACGCCAGCATAAAAACTACCTTTTTGTCTCTCCGCGAAACACCCTGTGTCCCACCCCCCGCAGATCCACGGAATGTCAAGGTGGATTACTTAGGCGACAAATAGAGGGCAACTCCACGCAAATCTGGGAATTACGAGCTTGCGTCAAACTCGAGTGTTTGCAATGGGAGCATTTTCGTTCCGTCCCGCCTTTCTTTTATCCTGTCAGGGCTGCCCCGAAAATGTCCATCCGGTGCCGAGGAGGGCAAGAATACTCACGGCGTGACGGCGAACCCAAACGGAATCCGAGGAGTCCACGATAAGGCCGGTGCCTCGGCTATCTCCGATCAACCACGGAACTAAATCGCTGGCACACGATGAGACAGAAATGCAGCAGCAGGCCGTAAGAGAACGGAGAGGGAAAGGGGCGAACGTGACGACCAGTTAGGCCTATCACGCAAGGTCGACGCCTTTGGTTGTAATTGACATGGGAAATCTGAGCCCTGATAATCGACAGATACACCAGACATTGCGTCCTGCCGTGATTGTATGACACTCACTCGTCGTAATATCCGGCGTCGATGTTCACGACGCTGGAGGAGCGCACAACCATGGCGTCACCGTCGCAGAAGTCGACCCAGGTGTCTGCGCAAGTGATGTTCTGTTTCGAGGGTCGGCAAGAGCATGGACCTCAAATTAATTGGTTTGACTTGACCAGTGAGGTGAGGAGGGACGAAAAGCTCAACCTCCCCCTCGGCAGGGCATGCAAAGAGACGAAGCCACTACATACAGGACGTCGCACGTGACATCTCGAGAGAGCAGCCCCACAACAAATCAGGCAGCAGCAACGTTTCAAAACAACGCTCGGGATGGTCCAAAGAGGGTCTCTTCACGAGTCTTCGTGACCCATACCTGTGACCTATTTCAGGTGCCAACCGCACACTCAGCTGCCACTCGGCAGCATGTCTTGACAACAGGGTGTTCTCAGACAGACACATCCGCATGAACAAGGAACCGATTCAATCCTCCTCACCTGGGAATCAACAATCGAGACGCCGGTCGATCCTAAACCAGGTACGGCGGGGCTGTCGTTGCTAGTGTCGGGATCGTAAAGCCCGTGAATCCAAAGATCTCCGATCTGAAACGTGCGCACGGACCCCGATTGCGGCGCACAACATCGTTCTGATTAACTTTTATTGTGGATATCTCGTGCCTTGTGGTCAACTGCGGCTGCTTCTTCCCTACCCACACGGTGGTTTCGGTGCTTGGTTGGGTGAGAAGTGCTCTGCGTAATCTCTCAAAAAATACACTGCGAGAATCGGTTACCAACCATGAAACGACCTCGGTGGGATAGTCGTGTGGGTATCTGGGAGTGACAAGAAAAACCGAACACCCTTTGGAGCCCTTGACAATTCGTTGCACTCACACACAAGATAGACGGTTCATATCTCTCACTTACATCCACTCTATCAAGCATGGTCTTTACCAAGTTTATCTCCCACTTACCCGGGCGTCTGAGATACCATCCATGACGATCATGGCGTCGACGTCTGTGTTTCCCGGTGCCCCTTCCTCCAGAAAGATGTCAATATTGTACGGGGAGTCGTCGAAACGGTACCTAGAAATACGATAGTGCGACACAAGTAGTATGGAAGAAACTCGCCTCAAATGCACCAAGCGTGTGCAATATGAACATGGTACGATATTAGAAAACAAGTACGACAACGAAGCGGTGCTGGTACACGGGAGTCGAAGCAGGTCCCAGCGGCGGTGGTCTATGTAGCTGATGACGTCGAATTCATGAAGAGGCTAGGGCTGCGGGGTCGATTGTCGGCGAGATGGGTGTCTTGTCCGTGATTCATTCCCAGAAGAATGTAAAGCGCTTGAGGGAAGGATTGCTTTCTACGCCCCTGCTTCCTACGTCGAAGCAATAAAGACCAGCACCTCAGAGCAAATATGGACAAGCACTGTAGAGGTATTTTTCCGTTTCAAAAGGTCTCGGCAGCCCTTCATAAGGCCGTCAGGTTGTAAGGAATACGCGTCGGAGGGACGATACATCGTATTCGGAAGAGAAGAAGAGAGAGGGAGAGAGATACGTCATGTCATCTCATATGCAGGACTGAGAAAAGGGCACACAACTGCAGCACTACACAGCAGATGCACAAAAGAAGTCAAAGCCTCTTAGAAACCGACCGCAAGATGGCATCGTGACCACGAGGTGGAATCCACGAAGTCCATCAGGGAGAGTACAACAGGATTGGCACAATGTGAGCTGCGGGAGCACAAGCAGAGCAGCAATACCGACGATGACCCGGTTGAACAGCGAACTAGGGGGAGGTACGTGCTCGTACATCCGAGCACACAGCCTGGCTGCCACCACCATCAACGGCGACATTTACCCCAAATATCTCGCAGCCATGGGCATCAATACCCGGCCGGCCAATTTCGGCATGGAGCAGACCTCGTCGAGTGCAGCAGCTTACACATAGCCTGCTTGTTGTTCTTACGTTGTATTGCTAGGTGACCGGCACAAGGATTGCTGGGAGACTTGCGGCACGTATGCAAACGTACCGGCCTTTGAGGAAGACGCCAGACTTCATGAAGATGTTGCCATCCACGTGATACTCGCCAAAGGCAAGAACCACCTGCGAGTAAGATTGCCATTACGAGACGCAGCCGACAGCGTAGGCGGCATACGTTCGAACCATTTATCAGCGGGTCAGATAGTCCGCTTCGGAGAGTCTTGCCTTGTGCCTTGTGTGGGTTTTGGGGAGGATGGCCGAAGGGTGTGCGCTGCCCAAGGCATTGGAAACGTATTTCGTGAAAGGATAGAAGCGACCACCAGCTTCGCGTTGTCATTAAACCTGAAGCACGGTGCAGGCAAGCGAAGATCTCCAGAAGGCCACGGTGTAGGTCACAGAGCGAGTTATGAGCTGAAAACAGGGATGAATCGCTCGCGATACCGACATGACCCAGATAGAGCATGTCCGAAAAACCGGTCTTACCGTGCCCGTGGCACTGTCATCCATGCCGACGCAGTCCACGCCGTCGTAGGTCCCCTTCTTCACGGCACAAATGGCGGCGTTGATTGCGTTCTGGTCGCCCGTGCCCTGCCCCACGAAGTCCGGGTCCCCGTGTCCGTACCACTCCGGGATGAACGTGGACCCCACCTGCGAACGGGTACGAGTTGTGGAGGAGGCGATGGGCGTTGGAGGTAGGAAACGTTTTTTTCTTCGTGTTCGTTGGGCTGGGGTCTTCCAAAAAGCGGCGCAAGGACGGCGTTCATCGGTTGGGCAGCGGCGCTGCCTTGGGAGCACACACGAGGCACGTCTGCTTCACCCCATTCTCTCTCTCTCTCTCTCTCTCTCTCTCTCTCTCTCTCTCTCTCTCTCTCTCTCTCTCTCTCTCTCTGCCCCCCGTTCTTTGCACCCTTTGGCATCTCTGACACTCACGTAGAAGGTGTCCGTGGGGTTGTCGATTTTGGTGCCGAGGATTCTAGCGTCAATCAGCGGGAATTCGGACCCTCCGGAGCCTTCCACGTGCACTGCGATGGAGGTGACGTACTGGCCGGCGAATCCCGTCAGGTCGATGGATTGGTACTCCGCGGTACCCGTGATTTCCAACCCCTGCCGTCCGTTGAGAGTGGTACGGTCAGAGCGAAAGGGACGGTAAGTTCTCGCTGACTACCAAAAAGTGCGGTGATCCCGACAGCTTTTTCCTGGCACGCGTCGCATGAACGCTGAACGGTTCATGAGCACGATGGTTGCCTACATTGTATGGGTGCCCGGCGTGAGTTCTCGACGGAAACGACGGAGCAAAGGGTCGAGAACCTGAGGTAGAGCGGCACCGAACAGGACACTACCATTCTCTGCGACTTAAAAAATTGCATGAAACGTTAAATTTTTCCCACCGTGAGGGTGGCGTACGGCTCGTCCGTGCCGCCGATCCGGTTGAAAAGTGACAGCTCGAACTGGACGTGTCGCCCGCGGGGAACAGGAGTTGCATCTCCGTGACCGTGAAGTACCCGGCGAGGTCGTAGTACAAAGCCTCTTCTATGGCCTCATCAGTCGTCGCGTCCTAAATACACCAGTCAGTGTACCCACGTCGACAGGAAATAGTAGGAGGACGTGACTCCAAAACGATTTCGCCGGCGCGAAGTAACACTCAAGATACACCGTAGATCAGGCGGATGCCTCACAGCGAACATACTCTTGGTTTCGAAAGAGCAACATAAATGATTCACGTTGGTTGGGGATGACGACACCTCACAGGCTGGCACACACCATTGCAAAACTACAAGAAGACTTGTATTCCATGTCAAAGGTATCGACAAAAATGGAACGGAGGGTATTGGTCCAGTCGCCGTGGTGCAGCACAACCCAGCTTGAAGCTCTCTGCAGCATGCTAGCGGGTCGAAAGAGTCAGCACCTGGATGGTCAAAGGGATCAGAGCGCTCACATTCCAATCATAATCATCGAAGTAGCTTGTTTCGAGGAGGACTTCGCCGTCCACCACCTCTTCGACGAACTCAACCTGACATGAACATACGATGGCATCGAACCGAAGGAGAGGGGGCACAGCAGTAGTAGTCTAATGGTGTTAGGGTAGGGGTCCAATACAAACCACAGCTGGATAAAATTCTCGACTCCTACCGTACGCGAGCGATGGTTGCTGTTGTGTCGGTGGGTACTGAACAGCAACGTTCGGAGGCACGCTTCGCGGCGAGTACTCCCCGGCGGCGTTGATGGAACGGGGCCAGGAAGCCTCGGCTTCATCCCGTCAATCCCTTTCAAACATCCGAATCACGTGGCGGTCGAGAGAAAGAAAAGGCGCCCGCAGTCTTCTGATAGACCCAACTGTTTTGAAAGGAAATTTCCTGAAAACTGTTGGAAAAATCCCTGGTCGATCGGTGATCTCATCCAAGGTGGCTAAGTCGCCTTTTCAAGAAAATTCAAACAATTCACGTGAATCGATGCACGAACGAGGCGTCCAACAAAGGGCGAGGGAGCAACGGCTGTTTTTAGCGCACACGTCAGTCACCCCTCCACCAAGTGTGGTGCTCTGACCTCCGAAATGGAGATAGACTGCCCGGGGGAGGAAAAGTCCCCGGAAATCCTGACACTGCTAGTCCTGTAGTCGACGTCGTACGTCTCGAGGCCGTCTGTCGTCCCCGAGCTGGTCACGAGTTCCTCAGGGGTCTGTTTCAAGAACCGAAAGATAGATACAGGCGGTATCGTTTCATCGTCGACGAGAGAATGGAGCGGATTCTAGCACCCTGAAAGTAAGGTTTGAACATGCCACAAGATATGTAGCACACCCACACAAAACCACAAACGCACAATACCTGGCAATATTTGTTCGGGTACGAGTCCAAAACGCCGTCTACTCTCAGATTTAGTGCAACTTAAGGTACCGATTCCCGCCAAAAAAGTAACACAAATCCGGTGATATTTCTTCTGGAAACCAAGCTCTTTACCACCAAGGTGAGGTTTGTCGTACACGGTAGGGGTCAAGGCAAGTTCAAGGTGTACCACCATGGTGCGTATAAACCTATGGGGCGAGGGTATAGCGCCAGGCGTTTGGGCGCCTTTTGGCCAGGTACAGAACGCGCCACCGCTCAAGAACTTTGCACTTAAGAAACTTGAGCCTAAAATACAAAAAGGCTAAGAACTTGGTCGTAAGAACAGATGCTCAGTCCTACACAAAAACCTATGCAGACGCCGTGAAGGTAACCCATAGGCAATCGCGCCTGGGCCAAGCGGTGGCGCGTTCTGTATCGCGGACAACGCCGGGAAATCGGCTCACCGTACCGTAACCGCGAGAGATGCTCATGTCCACCGCACGTTCGGCACCGTCGGCCAGAGCTTGAACGGTAAGGCCGAGACAGTGTGGATGACACCACAGAATACGACATGGTAGGAACGACAGCGGCAAAAGGTTTGCTTTTGGGTGAGGTCGTTGCGATGAGAGCCTCGTCCACAAACAATTTGCTCACATTGACATCCGAGGAGGCCATTGACAAAGTAGCTTGTGTTCATATGCCGGCAGGCTGAACGGCATCCACACGACAACAACTAGATTCATGGGGTGGGTGGTCACCATAAGTGGGCTGGACAACGCACAAGAGCCGCAGCGATAAATTTTGGCGCTCGACGCCCTTTGCCCATTCAATGAGGGCCGCACTCTGGGGGACTTGTACCTCCTTCCCCGAGTCGGTTTTCAGTCGACACTGAAACCAATCAACGGCAAGCGCTTGGCCCCTGCTGGCGACAGGCCTGCTCGTGCAGCCCTTCTGTCCGCTAACGATCGCCGTCAAAGTACAAAGCTATATATGGGCTTGATTTTTTTCTTGATTCATATCTTGGTATGTGCAAACGACAGCTAGCGGTCAGGCGTTCGTCCGGGTGCTTTCTCAGCAGCCGCGCGCGACAGCGTACTACAACCAAAGCTCGGGCTATCATGCGTCCTGCACGCTCCTGTCCACTTGGACACAGCCTGCATGGCTACGGGCTGCTGATCAATTTTTCTCACCGATTTTCACTTGCTTGATGTGGCGGGTGTACACCAGGTCGAAAAGGAGGCTGCACTCGTAGTACAGAATGCCTTGGGGGCTAACCTCTCTGGGGTCGCCCGTGCAAGTCCAGGAGGTTGAGAGGTCTCCGTCCTAATGAGAGGAGAGGAGAAGAGAAGAGAAGAGAATGGAGGAGCGCATCTACCACTGTCACTCTCATTTCGCCTATGCCGTAACCATTATGGTTTGCCTGTTCTTGTGAGAAGAGGAGAGAAGAAAAGAGAAAGGGGACACCGTCTTTCTCTTTTCGCTTGTGCCACAGCAACGGGTGGTCATGACAAGTCATGCTACACAGGAAAACGCTCTCACACGGGGTAAACGGAACTTTTCAAGGGTCAGCATGAGCCCAGCTAGTCTCAGGCCACGTAAAAGGGTCACATAGGATACTACGCCTTCGACACACTATCGTACCCGATGATACACATATATTGTAAGCCAACACCCGTCACCGGGGTGTGTTTTCTTACGTCGTCGTGGACGGTAAGGGGGGAACAGGCACACCTTTTTGACTCTGGCGATTATGACGAGCAAAACTCGTAGCCCCGAACATGGCAGAAGGTATGGATAGTGACCCCAACACCATGGTACCTACATACGTTTCGCAGGGGGAGAGGTGGGGCACCAAAACAAACAACGAACCATAACAAAAACTCCTACGTGACCTTCCTCTTGGGTGTAGATGGGAAGAACACACATACACAGCAGGCCTATGTACATCTGCAGGCGCACCTTGGCGGCACAGCGGTCAAGCAGCGACCCATCCCCAGTAGCCAGGGGTATGAGACCGACGGGTTGCAGATCGCCTACCGGAGTAGGGATCGGCGACGTCGTCGCCGGTTGAGCAGGAGCGGGAGGGGCGGTGGTGGCGGGGGTGGGCGGAGGCGTGACGACGTTCTGTGGCCACACCATGATCTCCGTCTGTTTGGCGGTACCGCAAAAACAAGTACCATGGTAGGCAACACGGGCGGTGCTGTTGGTTGCAGGATGATTAGTGGTGGGCACGCAGGTCGATAGAGGGAAGGTTTAGTCTCACGCTTGCGCTGCCTGCTTCTGCTGCCTCGAGACTTTTACAGAGAAGGTCAACGAGGCTCAGCACAAACGTCGTCTACGCCCGTGCGTTTACAGGCAGGAATACCAACCTCGATGATGCTGAGCCACTCCGAGTCGTCCAAGACACCTTGAAGGTTGATCACCGTGCCGGAAACTCCATCTGGAAACGCGATGCTCTCGAAGCCGTCCGTCGTGCCCGAGCTGGTCCAGGTGGCGACAAGCACGCCATCGACTGACACATCGATTGTCCTGACCCTGATGTCTCCGTTGTACAACGCTGGTAGATGGAGAGCAAAAAGGGGGAATCGGAAACGCCTCAGATACGCCATCGGGTATCACTGACAATCCGGCGCTTTCAAAAGAACAGAATCTTCACAAACGATTCCGGGTGCAATGCCTTGTCGGAAAAGGATCAGGGTGAGCTTCACATCGCATGTGAGCTCTGTGTCGGGTTTCGATGCCGCACAGCGATAAATGCTAACCCTTGCTTTCGTCTCACCCACGCGAAGCTCATCGAGGCCAAACTCTCGCCCGAGGTCGTACGAGATGGAGCACACGGCGCCTTCACCACCAAGGTTGGTGGCGCAAGACCAGCGGGAGGCATCTCCCGTGTCACCATCCTTGCCGGCAATGACGAACAGCAGCAACGCGGAGAGAGAGGCATGATGACCTACCTCCCAACAAACGTGGTGAAACGTGTTCGGGAACCACCATTCATAACCTCCTTGCGTCCAAAAAATATCATCGAAAGTCTAGCCGCACCCTTCCTGTCGGAAGCATACTACTTGGAAGCGATATACAGACGGAGAGAAAAACGCAGCACCCCATGCGAAACCCTCGCCCAGAATACAGCTAGTGCTACACGATCCAAAGTGGTTAATCACCCTTGTGAGCGCCGCAGTGCATCCGGCCGGGTCGCATCCGTTGTCGATGGCAAGGGCAGGGTCGAACAGATCCGCCGTAGTCGTGACGGTGGTATCTTGGGTCCCGATTTCCTTGGCAGACCAGAGTTGTTCGGGGGTAGCGACCGTGGGGGTGGCAGTGGCAACGGGAGCGAAGACAGGGGCGGGAGTAGTGGTAGGAGGGCTGGGCGGCGGCGCGAGACCGTCGCCCGATAGCACCATGATCTTCACCTGGACGATGTAGGGAAGAGCAGGCAACGACGAGGTGTTAGTGGGAGATCCTCGGACATGCGCACTCGTCATGATTGACATGTTGTGACGCGGAAGGAAGAGGCGCCAGGTTGCGTTTGGGAGAGGGGGTAGTTCAGTGGCCCAGGACGGAAAATCAATCTGGAATTCGCTGTCATCGGTATCGGTAGCACCGTCTTCGACGAGAGCCTTCACCTGTGGTTGAAGGAAAACGTGGGCGACAAGAATCGCGCGTGCCCGTGATAAACCCGAAAGGCTTGTTCGGGGGGTGGAGAGAGCGATGGTCCAAGCAGGCTGGCGGTCGCATACTTGTCGTGCGTTGATGCAAGACTGCCTTCAATATCGTAGACTTTTTTTCCATTCTTGGTGATTTGGGCTATCGTATTCCGCGTTTGGTAGACCGCCGGAGCAAACCGACGGGTTCGAATCAAACAACCCGCGGTAGTGATGATCGTGTTGAATGATATTCCACTCGAGGGGTTTCGTGCTTCGCAAATTAGTTTGACACGAACGTCCATGAGATGCTTTTACACGAACCTCCGTGATGCTGAGCCATTCCGAGTCGGCCAACACTCCACGTAGCTCGACGGTTTGCCCGGTAACGCCGAGCACAACGGTCTCGAATTCGTTAGTCGTACCGGAGCTGGTCCAAGACGTTTGCAGGGCTTGATCGACATAAACGTCCATCGTCCTCGTCCTCGTATCACCCTTATGCATCGCAAGTACGAAACAGAGACAGACAGGTGAAATGTTGGGCAAGTCCAGTTATCGCTTTTCTACATGAACCGGGAGCGCGAAACAGTTAAATATCGCTACAAGGCCAAGGAGCAACACATACATAGTCGAACAGTAGATCCGTCTGGCTGTTAAACCGTGTTGTGTTTGTGGATTCCTTCTGGTCTGCAGTAAGCGAATGGATGGTAGTCGAACTGGCCTGGTTCTTGTGCAATAGGAACAAAAAAAAAACGTAAACCAAGATACTTCTGTATACCACTTTCAAGCACGGAGTGCCGGCGCACTCATATATAATATGTAGAAACACGCGCACGAAACCCAGGCCCATACTGTACATTGTTTTCGTTTTGTTTTTTATTGAAATACGATAATACTGGAGTAGGAAGTGAGCTCAGCCGAGCACTACATACACTTCGGTGGTTTAGCAATAGTCTGTGCTCGATGTGTTTGAGACAAAGTCTAGCAGTAGCAAGCGAGCCTTGCTCATGGCAGGTGTTTCTTTCGAGTGGCCCGGCACATTCTCCAACCAGGTGTCGTAGTGTACTTCGTAATTATGGATTGATATAATTGGTACCATGCTGTAGGTGTTACGCGAGAGGCCACGCACTACCATAAGGGTGGTGATTGTTTTCGAATGCCACCAACGTATCTACGGCAAGTAATAGTAGCATGCCGCCGCAATTATTCTCACAGATTTGTTCCGTTTTCCTATCTGTGAGAGAAAGAAATACCCTGGATCCCATCCAACTCGAACTCACCGATGCTGAGCGTTTCTATAGCTTGCGGGTCGGCGAAGCTATAGGTGAGGGAGCAAGTGGAGCCAGCAGGCCCTAACGCCGGCTTGCACGACCAGCGGGAATCCGATGTTATTCGATCGCCATCATGGTAGTTGTTATTCGGATTTTGATGGGGTGGCGGTGGGGAAACGGTCAAAGATATGCGTACAGAGCATGCGTGCGTGCGGAGGAAGAGGTCGGAGATGTGATGGCCCAAATCAATCGTGAAACACACATGCAAACATGCACTCGCATCTCAAATCGTGTGCAATCCTATGCACTACTTCACACACAAGAATCAGCTGAGAGCCTGACGAACGCCGCTGGTATGTACGTACAAATGTGTAGGCTGCACAACGCAAGGCCACATATTTCCAACTGCTCACCTGCTGCCCTCGCATAAAACATAAAAAGCGCAACACTGCTGTATCGTAGTTGCAATCTCTAGTGGACAACTTTGCGCGCTCAGAGAACTCACCCTGGTCTTGTCTCCAGAGCACCCTGCCGGGTCGCACCCGCCAGCTACCGCCAGGCGGGAATCAAACAGGGATGCCTCCGCTTCGACGGTAGTCACAGTGCCAGATTCTACAACTACAATTACAGCGGCAATGGCCGAAAGCGGTCCTGAAAACACAGCCCCAGCAGCCAACAACGCAGATGCCGCGGCAACGAAAGCCCTCATTTTTCGACAGCTCTGGTGGAAGCTTTCACAATACTGCGCTGCGTTGTTGTTGAAGTGTGTGGGACTTGATGCGTGTAGTCCAGATTGTGTGAGTGACAGGTTTGTGGGCGTTGATGTGCGTGCAAGATTAAGATTGTGAGAGGGGTCTCGTGTGTTGAGTCGGAAGTTCCGCTGTAACAATGAAGTTCATCCGCATCAACCTTTGGAGATGGTGGCTCTTCCCAAATTTGTTACTGTCCAAGCTGTCTACCCAATTTGCAAGTCATCGACAAAAAAAGATTTTTTCTGTTCTGAAAACTTGGAAGCGACGACGAAGGAACCTGGAAATGTTCCGCTAAATTGGAAGGGGTTGTGTCCAGAACATCCATCCTCTTATGTTTTCGGCTGTCATTTCACCAAGCAGCGGCATGATCTGGAAGCGGGGCGAGGCAATACGCGAATACAATTGTCCGGATGAAAGACAAAGAGCGTTGCAGGTCAAGAGAGATAGATGCTCGCATGTGTCTACCGGTATCTGTTTGCGCTCGATTTTCTCTCTCCTTGTTGCTGGTTCTACCATCCTCCTTGTGTTCACTGCTCTCGCTGCAGCTACCACCGTCTCTTGGCGGTTCTCCGTGCCCTACTGCTGTACGGTGGAATTGGTATGAAACATCATCAGCTGGGGCGAAATTTTCCCAGTAGTCTAAATCGATACTCTTGAAATCCTGCGAAGGCGGTCCAGAGTATGGTAAACACAGCCGATTTGTTGCGTGTGTTGCTGTTGTCCACACTTTTTTTTAAACCGCTCCGGTCCAACGGCGCGGACGCCGTCAGTGGTTACAAGCCAACTGCCCCCAGACACCTTTCCAGACCTAAAAGAGTCCTCCAAGGCGTGATTTGTTTTTTACCCAAACCAAAAAGGTGTACCCACGATAACTCGCTGAATGAATGTTGCTGTCCTCGAGGCAAGAGCGCACGTACGCTCGCATCCAAGATAAACGACGCACGGGCGATCTAGTTAGTAGAATTACAATTTGCAATAGTTCCCCAGGTAGGTCCCGCGACAGAACGAAAAACACACTCACCCGCAAGGTATTTGTATCACCCCGTTCTCCTACTAAAGAAATAGAAATACGATGCTCTTGTGATGGGTCAACAGCAGTGTACGGAAAACGCCCCGATGACACCTACAACGACATGACACGTTGAGACAGAGTGATCGACGGAGGACACATACAATACAGTGCACCGCCTCACCGCCGCACACGCCATTTCAATCGGTGCATGGACAACGGGCCTACGTGCGATACGCCTCCGACAATACATACAAGCGACGGAAAATAATCAACACACGAGCAGGAGAGTTACAACAAAAAACGCCCGTTCGATTGTGCATCTAACCCTATCACCATTGCTCTCCCACAGGACAACCGCCGAAGCGAACAAAGAACCCCTCCTTCTGCTGCATGACGGCTGACGCCAACGACTAACAAGACGATACACCAACAAACGCCTGCCGCCCTCTCAACAAAACATGCAAGGACGACAGCCAAGCCCCATGACAAGGGCAACACCCTCTCTACCGATCTACCAAATCTCCGTGGATCATCTACTCGATGGTGGCAGGCACCCCGCCCCAGCCGACGCTTCATCAGTCGACCCGTACGCTTTCCACCCTTTTCCCAACACGTCATCCACGCCCTGTAAACTCCCTTCAGGCCCTGCCCCGTCGCCGCCGCCTGACGAGCCCCCCCGCCCCTCCTCCACCGGGGGGGGCACCGGCGGGT